TAGATAGATAGATAGATAGATAGATAGATAGATAGATAGATAGATAGTGTTGTACAGACAGACTCGCTGTAACTTCTTTATTCAGGAACAAACAACCCAGCAAAAACCCTGTCTGACAGTTCTCCTTTTATAGGAGCAGTCAGACAAGCCATCCAATCAGTTTAAAGTATTTTCCTGCCCGATTGGCAGACTGAAGTGAAAACTTACTCCTTTCACAATACATAACTGACAGACAGACAGACAACCTTTATTGCTGTTTTTCACTGTGGACACACTGGAACACATTAAAAATGAAATTCTGTTGCCTGCTCTCAAAAGTGTACACACACATCACACACACATTCACACACACCCCTACACCCATATATACATATATTAATCACTGTCCATCTTGAATACATATCAGAAAGAGGAAGTTTGAGAGTTCATCAAGGTTGATACTATATGGAACAAAACTGTAACTGAATCTGGATGTTCTGTTTCAGATACCACAAAGCCTCCTCTCGGTAGCTAACAAGGAAAACAGGTCATGAGGAGGATGTGTAATGTCCCAGACAGTGTGTAGTGTCCCAAACAAGAGCTCTTCAGTACTGTTGATCACCTACCTGCCACAGCATGAGGGTCTACGTAGAATTCATCCAAAATATTTGAGCCACTGTCCAGGCAGTATTTTAGTTTCTTCAGCACAGAAGCTCCAGCTGCCAACCGGAAGAGCCCCTAAAAGAAAAGAAAAAAAAAATAAGGGAGAAACCAGGAGGTCTGTGGCAAATAAATAGCTGGATAGAGGGTGGTACCTACCTCTTCCCGCATACCTGCGGTCAACAGCATCATAACACAGGCTTCAATGGGAAGTGCAATCTCTCGCCCAGCAGCCTTCAGGTGAGTCTCTAAGGGCATTCCATACACCCCTGGTACAGCTGGATCTAATGGAAAAGGGGCATCTAAACAAGGAAGGAGGAGGAGAATGGAGAAAGATTAAAGAATGCTTGTCTATTAATTTCCAGAGTCATCTCCTCTCAACTCTTCTGGGCTAATATCTGGGGTGTTTTTTTATGGACACAGAACAAAAAGCTGAAGCCATTTCTAGCTGACTACCATGGGTCAATGCAAACATCAGTTAATGCAAATATCAGTTAAAAAGGACCACTTCTAAGCAAATGGCCAGAGAGTGCCCCTGCCAAAAACATTAAGTATTAAAAGGATCCAGATTGTTGGGGGCAATATGCTGACTCTGTAAATTGCATAGAGATGGCTATAAAGCACTGTGAAGCAGTATATAATCTAAGTGCTATTACTATTGCTATTAATGTTCAGATCCCACATACTGTATTTGTAATCCTTTCTCTTTAATATTCCTAAAACTCTGGCTGTACAGTAATTTATTCATTGCTAATGTGTTATACCAAAAAAATGCATCTCAAATTGTACCTGTTTGGTTGTGACAACTCATTAGCTCTGCCAAGCTGGAATTTAGAGATTCCAGAGACTTCTGATGATATTCTGCCTGGATTTCCAACAACTGTGACAGAGAAACAAGTAAACAGAATTGTAATTCTAATTAGTATTTTTCTCACATCTTGTCCATGGAGAGATGAAATTTTCAGAAGTTAGAACATGTGATTTTTAAAATATAATATGAATAAAATATAAATAGAGTAGTTAAGAAAATGAAATTAAATCTTACTTTGATAAAGTACTTAGCATAGCTGTCCTCCTTGGTTGAAAAATGATATAAATCAGCCATATATTCATCCTGGAACAGTATTGGGAACTATTATTCCTTGATACACTCATGAAAAATTTAACATAAAATTCATCACTATTATTTCTTAATATTCATTCGTTACAGTAGGGTTTCCCAATCTAGGTCACAAAGATATGTAGACTTCATCTCCCAGAATTTCCCATGCTGGCTGGAGAATTCTGGGAGTTGAAGTCCATGCATCTTAAAATTGCCAAGGTTGGGAAACTGCATTACAGCATCAACAAACTCCTAATAGAGTTAGGGAGTATACCTCTAGTGCACTTCTTGAATGTAACTGCATGGCTCTGAGGATACATGTACGCAACTAATGGAAGCCAAAAAATTCTTATGCCTTCCATTGGTAGCCATTACAAATCCATGGTGACTTTCCAAGCTAGAATAATGAGATGCAGGAGTTTTGCAATAGTCTTATTTTAGCAATCAAATAGTAGGTTTTGGAGTGACAATCATTAGAAACTAGTCTGGCATTTTGAGCTCACTTATGGAAGCTACACAATACACAATAAAATTGATAGTAGGGACTGGTTCCATCAGTAAACAAACTAAAAACAGCCAATCTGATGAACTCTGTGACAAAAAAGAAACTACTTCAACACTCTGTTCTTTCCACTTTATTTTTTAACTATTTCTCAGCTGTCCTGTACTTGATGAATTTCTTACATAAACATGTTTATCGATACCAGAATTGAAGAGTAGACTAAGATAAATCAATACATTCTTGATCAAGCTGTCTCTATGTAGAAGTACCTTACTCTGCTCCAACCTCCTCTTCATCTCCTCTTCTTCCTCCTTCAGATTCTCCAACTTTACGGCAGCTGATGAGGCTCCTGAAGTTGTGCTAGCACTGACACTATTACTGGAATTCTTGGCAGCTTGGTTTAGACTGATTTTTTTTTAAAAAAAGAAACAGGTAGGTTCAATGGTATTTCAAAATTAGGAAACAGGGTATGTTTGATATAAAAAAAATGTCTTAATAAGAAGGTTTTGAGGTGTTATTGTGAAGCCTAAGACTGACACTTTGTATGAAAAAACCATGTGATGTTGTATTTCCTGTGGAGTGGGAAGCCCCAACTGTTTTAACAGCAGTTTGTGTAGTGCAAATTTTGAGTGCCAGACTAGAACTAGGGGAGGCTTGAGTTCAAATCTTGTCTCACTGAGAAAGCGTATTGCACAGACAACCAATACCATCCAGTTTATTTATTCTGCACAACTTGGTAATTTCATGCAATCTAAATTTAAGGGTAAATTACCAAATTCAGATGGTACAAATTTTAGATGTTAAAAGAGGTAAATTGATTCCCCCAAGACATAAAAAAGACAAGAATGTTAGTCCTATCTCTTCTAGTAACATCACTATCACATTCTTGTACCACTTGGATACAAATCCTAATCCAATTTTTTTTTTGTCAAAGTTTACTGAATGGCTGTGGCTTGTTTTATTTTACTCTAAATTATTTCACACTGTTGTGAGAATAAAAGGGGAGAGGGGAAGAAATCTGTCTGATTCTTTAGAAATAAGGCAGGATAAAAATGAGTCAAGATTGGGACACTTAAGAGATTCCTTCATAACATATGAATATAATATTACTCCAGGTCAAGCCAATTAAATTGGCAACAACTTTCCCTTTTAGCCTTTGGTATAACATGGATAGCATAAGAGCACTATGGGCATTGATGGACAGTCACTTACTTTTAAGTAAATGGAATGTGAATTATCTACAGATGGAAAGTTGCAACTAATCAGTATTATTTCTAATGTTCAGTAATACATTCTATCTTAATTATTCCTTAGTTTATCCCAATGCAGTGTTAGAACTGATAATAATTAAACAGGAGAGTGACATTATATTTATACCACTCATATTACAATAGCCAGATGTATGTCCATACAATTCTTATGTCCCAAAATACAGTACATGTATCCACTTGAACACACAGATGAAAATGTTGAGTGGAAGGTCTTTGGTAATCGAGAAACCTGAAAGAGGAACAGGACTACACCCCCTGTAATGTTTGTGTGTATAAACGTGACTCTTTATGGGCATTGCTTTGCACTGACAGTGGACTTCTGGAAATACCACGTATAACATTACTTTTTCCTTGAAAGAGGCAGAACACAAATCTAAACCTTAAAGTCTGGGCTTATGATATCTAAAGTACATTATGGACTTACGGAGACTGTAACCATGTAGGCCCTTATATGCAAGAAAATGTAGTTCATTTTTTCAGTTAGCAAGCATAGTAGTGAAACACTTTACTGATGTGAATATGACAGCAAACAGTTACTAACCAAAAAGACATGAAAAAACATGAAAGCCACTTCTAACAACCTTGAGAATTTAGTTTCCTATTACTGACATGAATTGATGGCAGTTATCAAACTCTTGCAGCTGTTTTTCTTGTCTAATTCAGAAATGGCAAGTATTTGTGCTGAGATGTACTACACACAAAGTAGGAGTTCCACCACTGAGCAATCACCTCTCCTTAACCTATGCATTTTTTTAGAAACGTTAAATCATTTATGTAAGTCAGCACACAAAACAAATAATAATACAAGACATACAGAAAGTGGGACTCCCAAATTGAAATGCAGTTGAACAGGCATGTAGGGGATTATCCATTTGTGCAGCTTTCCCCGACCTGGCATCTCTCAAATACAGGTAATCCTTACTTAATGACTGGTTAGCATGTGATATCATGCTTAATGATTGAGGATGATTCACATAACAACTGCAGCTGCCAACTGTTAAAAGTCAGTGTCCTCACATGATATTTCATTTTATGACCATGCCATTTAGTGATGGAGTTAGTGGTCCCAATTGCAGGACTATAATATGCCACTGGCTATGCTGACTGTGAGTAATAGGAAGAATAGTACAGTACATCTGGTAACAGATTGGAAAAATAATATGCTAAAGATTTGAAGTAGTTTTGAAGTGCTCAAACCTAACTTCTTTCAGTGATTGCACTATATCATAAGCCATTGTGGCTAGCTCATACAAACCCTAAACCTCAAATCCAAGGAAACTGTAATTCAGAATGTTAAGTTAGTTGGTACTTTCAGGCTTTGAATGGTAGAGATCTTGTTGCCAAGGTAATGTTATCAAAAACATAACCAGCCCCTGGCAGAACATGAGCTACATTTTAAGAGACTTTCCCCCCATCACTCCCATTCAAAGTTTTCATTGAGCCTTCCTCATTTTTCTATTTTATTATATCCCCTCAGTACCGGCTTTTGATGGTGTTCCAATCCAGAATAAGTTTCTGAAGATTCTTTTTGTGTTTCAGGATGACAGGCAGCTCCTCCTAGAAGAGGTTGGGATGAAGGATTTGGGGTCAGTTCCCACTATCATCAGCTCCCATAAGCACCATTCCCACCAATAGTTTTAACTAATAAATGTTTAAATAGACTTTAGATACAGTAATATATGGTAATAATACTAATACTAATAATAAAAATTCCAAATACAGTCTAAATATTTGACTGTTATATTCTTATATAAACAACAGTGGTAACAAAGATACTTTGGAATATCTTCAAGAAATATCATTTGCCTGAAAGCAAGAACTGGTGAGATCACAAAATAGACAACTAAAAAATGAAGAAGCTAAAGTGTTCTGGTATTTTAAAATTCAAACAGACAAGCACCTGCCATATAATGCCTCAGATTGAACAACTGTTGATAAGAAAGACAAAAAATTCTATAGTGATAGTGGATGAGGCAGTACCTAAAGACAGCAAAAGACAAAGAACTGGAGAAAATCACAAAATTTAAAGACCTACAAATAAAAGTAGCAAAAAAAAGCAAAGATAATACCAATAGTAATAGGCATCTTGGGTGCAATTCCAAAACATCTGGAGCCCCACTCTTACACCATTGGCATTGACAAAAATCACCATGAGTTAATTGCAAAAGGCAGCTTTACTTGGAACAACATGCTGCAATGATATTTAATTATTAAACAACTCCTGCCTATCTTGGGTTTTTGGGAAGGACTCAGTAAGTCCATATAGAAAAATGCCAACTCCAGTTTAAACATCTGGCTGATTGTGGGACCAACCATAATAATAAGCTTTATATCAATGATGGATGGATGGCACTAGAAAATTCTTTCAGTGACTAATGAGGAAATGGCATTAATTTAAGATCCTGTTGGTTTGTAATCGGCATAAAATAGCCTATTTCTTATGTTTCCAAGATTTTATTCTTTTTCTGACCTTAATATTGTGATGGCCCTTGCCAGGATTTTGTATGAGAATTTTCACCATAGCCAGATTTGTTATTTATTTGCTAGATTTATATCCTATCTTTCCTCCAGAAGATCAAAGGAGTATACATAGTAGTCTTTTCTCCAATTTTTCTTACAACAATCATTCCATGAGGATTGTTGAGTTGAGAAACAGTGATTGGTATAAAGGCATTCAATGAGCTTCCAATGACTGAGAATGGGTTTGGCTCTCCTGAGGCCTTGAGTGGCTTCTTATCTACTATACTTTTCTTACATTTGAACAGCAGAAGCAGTTAGTGGTCTTTCTTCTAGCACCTTGTCAGGAAATGCCTGTTTCCTGATTTTGCTTAAGTTAGAAAGTCAAGCATGACAAGATAGTTATTTCCAGTGTATATTAATCCTTAACTATAGCTGTGAACAGCCTTACAAAATTTAAACAACCTTTTGATTTTGTTCTTCCTTGTAAATGAACATTACAACCAAAGTTCCCATAGCTCCTAAATTACAGCAGCTTTTGCCCATTAGTGAGGAAGGACTATGTGGCTGGGTACCTGAAGCATTTCATCATCAATTGTTTAACCATAGTTTACTGCATGAATTGCACTGTGGCTGGACAAATTGTGAAAATGCTGAGGTTAAGTAAACATGGAAATAGGAGTGAAGAGAAAAGAGATGAAAGATTATGCTGGTTTCTGACTGTAGTAAAGATTTGATTCAAGATTAAAGATACCTCACTCAGTTTATTCAGAGGTTGTAGGACATCTTGTTCAAGAGTAATTTCAAACTCTGCAAGGATCCTGGCCAGCGTGCTTTGAATGCAGCAACTCATTTCTAGAGCTTTCCTAGAAGGAAAGAAGAAAGAAAGAGTTCAAAATCCCACTTGGAAGGTGAAGAATATCAATCTACCATAACACCTCTGGGGACTAACATATAATACATAATATTCTTCTTTTGCTTCCAGAGACCTGTTTGACTCCTTCAACAGCTGCTTCTTCCCACAGCCAGCATTTTCTAAATATATGGCATTGCAATCCATGTGCAATGGGAACTGAGAGCATCAAATTGGGAAAACTATTTTTTTTTCAATTTGTCTGCCACAATTTTAACCTCTGCAATTATTATTAATTATGCTTTAATTTCTCTGATATGTATTGCATCTTTTTACCCAGAGGATATATAGAGCCACTAAAAGTAAAATAAGCAGTTGAAAAATCTAGTTTAAAGGGGGTAAAAATCATGCCTCATTCCAACTGAAAAAGATAAAGGGTGGAAACTTGAGCACAATTTCCAGAGAAATACTCTCCAATACTTGGAATTGCTTGAATGATTGGAGATACAAGACAGTTTATGCAATCAGTAAATATCATTCCCAATATTCATTTTCTAAATAAAATACTCCTTGAGGAGCAGATATATGTACTTGACATTGATAAACCCCAAAGATTTTCCTGCAGTTTCAGGTCATTGTGGCTCAGCTTCAGTTGATAATGCAACATCCATATATTACTTGTGGGATCGCCTGTAAAAAATGCTTTGTTTTTTTGTGACTTGGTGTGTCTGTTACTGAAAAAAAGTCTACCCTTTGCTCTTTTGTGACACTGTATAGAGGAAGCCAAGGGAATGCTAGCAGGGAAAATTGTGCCTATTAAGTGATGAGCAGTAGAATTTAAGGCTGCACTAGCAGATTTGCACTTGTGTGATGAGACTTTCTCTTCTTCATGTCACTCCTGTGTGTTCTTACAATTGCTCTGGAAGAATATGAATTTCTCTGAAACAGATTTGAAGGCATGGGGCAAACCTGTGCAAGGAGAAAGGGAAATGGCCTTCCTCCCACTCAACACCCAGAATTGGCTTCTGCTAATAGAAATGTAAGAACCAATTTGGTGTACTGATTAAGACAGAAGATTAGAAACCAGGAGACAAAGGATTCTAATCCCACTTAGGCATGAAGCAAACTAGTTGACCTTTGGCTAATCATATACTCTTATCCCTAGGAAGCAGGCAATGGCACCCACTTCTGAAATCTTGTCAAGAAAACTTCAGGGACTTATCCAGGTAATCACTAGGAGTCAAAAACTGAAATGAAGTCAACCCCAACCCCCCAAATCCAATACCCACCCATCACAAAACTGCAGCTTGGATTTCACTAGTGAAAACTGGATCCACTCTGTGTTTCTGTTGCTTTCTTCTGTACCACCATATTGCTGGACAGAAAGTTATCCCAGAAGTACAAAATATACCATAGCTTAAAGCAGATTTCATAGTTGGCATGGTTCTTAAAATACATGGCCAACAGTAAAAACATGTGGTGGAGGGAAACAGATAAGGCAAACAGAGGAGACTCAAGTTGCCAGATATTTCTGTACGAGTAGATTTTAAGATTAATATTAATTACACAGATGCTAGAAAGAATACTGCTCTTGAAAAATAATATTTTTATGTTTTCAGAAAACAAACAAAACCAGTTCAGTCAGGATATTAATGCAAAGGACATTTCCAAATTGTAAAAGAAAATATGATTTTGTGATCCATAGAGGGGATGAACTTTATAGTATCAGAGATAACAGAGATGCTATCAGAGATAACAAGCTAGACTAATATGTTCCTCAGTTATGAAGAACACTGTGTCTTTCACTCATAAAATGTAACAATTCTTACCCAAGACTGGAATCCATGTCTAATTCCTTAAAACTTTCAGCCATAGCGACTGATAATGCCATCAAAGGTAACTTTTTCTATGGAAAAAAATGAGAAAATAAGACCATGAACAGAGAAGAAAAATACCTATACCAGTAACAGTTGGTAATTACAGTTATTAAATATCTAACGTTTGCCTACATTACGGGTTCTTGTAGGGATATAACTCCATTATGGACTCCATAATTTATATTTATATATATTACTATTGACTTAACAGGTAATAATAATAATAGCTGTTTCTCACCATCAACATCTTATCTTAATGTGATATTATATTTTTTTGGCAATGATAATTCATTGAATCCTATGGGCAGTATGTATGCGTATACTGGGTATATTTCCTAGTTAGCGAAATGTGGGTATCAGTATTTTGGTTTCCAGGCAATGTCTGAATTAAGGATCCTACCTTATGAATGAAAAGACCAAGATACAGGCCAGAGAGTATGAATTAGCATCATTTATGCCATGGTAATTGCACAGAAAATAAAAGTCCAGGGGCTTGTGATAGTTTCATATTATACTCTGGTAAATGGTAAAAAAGGAAGACCCAGTGATAAGTTTTGGTAAAAAAAATTATGTAACATTCTACATGAATTTTATCTGAATGGAGAAAAATATTCAGCCAAGTGACTTGAATAGTATAGAAAAGTCTGGGGAAAAAAGTGATTGGGCCATTGAAGACCCAAGAATGAATCAGTATGGTGCCTGTTGAGTACCTGCTTAGAAAAAGATACTCTTTGGTGATGAAATATATTGATGGCGAATATATAAGGAACATTGGAATGATATTAGACATTGGTTGGAAATATGAATATACATATCATATTTGTATGCAGATCTATTGTTTGCAGATCAATTATTAATAGAAGAGAATATTTATAGCCCAGAGTTGGACTGAGCAGTCCTTAGTGCTCTCTGAGCTTGGTTGTTTCCTTGCAGATATTTCATTACCAGACTAGATATAACATCTACAGTACTAGAAGGTAAACTGTTGTTTACTGCTTGTTTATCCCAGACCAAGATAAATCCAAAAACACATTCCTGGATACTTGGCACTCAGACAAATAAGCCACCCATAGGCACATATAATTTTCACATCATTTAAAAGAGACTAGAAAAAAGCTAAGATGGAAATTTAAAAAAGAATTCTTCTTATCAGTAAACACCCAGATAAGCAGAAATTAACACCAAACAACCGAATAGTAAATAATATCCTAATCGAGGAAGTACCAGGAGAAAACAGCACCCCCATAAACACTAACAGGGCAAGCTACTAACTTCACAATCTTTTAGCACTGACTTCTAGTAACAAAATGTCTCCAAGCAATCAATCAAGCTTAGAGAAGACTGAGAATAGATTGTATATAGATGAATATGGATTTTTGGAGATTAATATTCAAAGACCAGGGTAGATATATTCAACAGTGAAACCCGAGTGAAAGATTGTACATTATAAATAAATGGTGAAAAACAAGAGCAAAGAGATGAATTTTTGTATATTGGTACAATTGTTATTTAAAGATGAGAATTCAAGTGGAGAAATTTTATGAATTAAATGGTAGTAGAGAAGGGTAGGTACAATGTGGTTTGTTGTGAGGAATGAATCTTTTTCACACAAAGCAAGACCAACTCAGTATAGAAATATGCACCAACTCAATAAAGAAACAAGGATAATCTGCAAGGACAGAAAGATAGAGAGAGGTGCAATGAACTGTAAACCAGATTTAGCTATGTTTCTTTTTCTGAACCCATTCTTTAATTTCTTTGGCTTTTTATTACTCCTTTTCTGAACTATGCATAATTCACCCCAAAAGGGAACAGTATGATAAGTATGTAGGTAAGTATGATGGAGGTACGTATGGTAGTTCATTAACTATATGAATATAACAAGCCTGTTCTTTAAATGATAATTATATTGGTTTTCTCTACTCCCATACATATTTGTAAAAATGATTAAAATGATTTTAAAAATAAAAATACATGGTGGCATAACTGATTTAAAGTTTAATATTAGCATCTTAACATATTATTGGTGGTTACATAATACGCCACAGACACAGACGGGTAAATAGTCAAGACTTTGTTGATGATCTCAACTATGTCAAGGACCTTGGAGTACTCATCTCTAATGATCTACGTGCTAGAGCCCACTGTAACTACATAGCCAAAAAGGTATTAAGAGTTGTTAACCTAATCCTGCGTAGCTTTTTCTCTGGAAATATCACACCACTAACTAGAGCATACAAAACATTTGCTAGGCCAATACATGAATACAGCTCATCAATCTGGAACCCGCATTACATATCGGATATTAATACAGTCAAGAAAGTCCAGAAATATTTCACGAGAAGAGTTCTGCACTCCTCTACTCGTAGAAGAATACTTTATGCCAGCAGATTTGAAATTTTAGACCTAGAAAACCTAGAACTATGCTGCTTTTGGTCTGATCTAAGTATAGTACATAAAATTATCTACTGCAATGTCCTACCTGTCAATGAATACTTCAGCTTCAACCACAACAATACAAGAGCACACAATAGATACAAATTCAAGGTAAACTGCACCAAACTTGATTGCAGGAAATACGACTTCAGCAACAGAGTGGTCAATGTCTGGAATACTAGTCTACCTGATTCTGTGGTTTCTTCCCCAAACCCCAAAAACTTTAACTTTAGACTGTCTACTATTGACCTCACCCCTTTCCTAAGAGGTCTGTAGGGGGCGTGCATAAGCGCACCAACATGCCTACCGTCCCTGTCCTATTGTTTCTTTTTTATTCATATCCATTTATGTATTCATAACCATGTTTATACTTATACCTGTTATCTAACACTTGCTTGTCAAACAACAAACAAACAAACAAACAAATAAATGATTGAATAAATAAATAAATAAAATAAATATACCATGGGTTTTAAGGCAAACCATTATTGGTACTAATGGGGCCAATTTATACCTTATTCTGAAGACTATCTGGCTAGATAGCAAATGTGTCTCTATTCTTCCTGGCTGCACCCACGAGGAGGGAAATACTGCTAAAAAATGTCCACAGCTTGGCTAGTTGAATTTAGTGATTAGTATTCTGGATTTACTGTATTCACTCAGAAGCTAGACATGTAATATAAGAACAAACTGAAAAAGATTACTTCATCCCTGGTTCCTTCTAGCTAGAAGAAAGAAGATAAAAAATAATAATTCTAAAGGATATGAAGTACAAAAGTATTACTGTTCTAAAATAGACAACTAATGAAAGAGTTATAAAGCTTGATTAATAAATTCTCTTGCTTTTTAATATTTTTTATTTTACCATTCCTTGAAGGAAGGAATGCAGGTAGTCTGTTATCATTCTCTCCTATTTTTTTTAAGTATTAGAAAAGTTCTGTGTAGTATATTAGTCTGAAAAGAGTAATTGGCTCCCTTCCTCCCTTTCATACCTATTTATATACAGAAGCAAAAATGAACTGCCGAAGAAAAATAACAAATAGGATATTTGGATTTTGCCTGTATTTCATTCCAAAACATTATAAAATTTGTATAGAGAGGTTGCATCACCTAGCTGTATTTCTCCATGGGCAAAAATCCAACAATTCTGTTCAATGTCATATTCCTTTGAATACTGATTATCATAAACAGGGCATGTTAACCTCCAGGATACCTTCCCTACTTCTTCTTTTGATATCTTAGAATGGACTTTTCATACCAATAGATAAATGAGAATATGGCTTCCATAATTTTAGCCAGCATGCCTAATGGCAATATTTGCTGAAGATTCATAGAATCATAGAATAACAGACTTATAAAGGACCTTGGAGATCATCTAGTCCAACCCCCTGCTCGAGGAGGAGAGTCTATTTCCAATATTAGCCTCTACCTGGTATCGAACTCCCAGCCTCCTGATTGTGAGGTGAGAAATCCAATGTATTCAGAAGATATTAAATACTAGAGGACTATCTTAGGAGTTTATCTGGAAGGGCAACAGAACTTAAATCTACCATAGCCTAGGATAAATGCTACAGATAGAACTGTGGATTAATATTAACAGAATAACAGAATGGGAAGGGACCTTATAGGTCATCTAGTTCTAACCCCCTGCCCAAGCAGGAGACCCTACACTATTTCTGACAGATGGCAGTCCAGTCTCTTCTAGAAAGCTTCCAATGATGAAGCTCCCACAACTTCTGAAGGCAAGCTGTTCCACTGGTGCATTGTTCTCACTTCCAGAAAAAAAACCATTATTTCTAGGTTGCATCTTTCCTTGATCAGTTTCCATCCATTATTCCTTGTCTGGCTTTCAGGTGCTTTGGAAAATAGCTTGACCCCCCCCCTCCTCTTTGTGATAGCCCCTCAAATATTGAAACACTGCTGTCATGTTTCCCCTGGCCCTTCTCTTCACTAGACTATCCATGCCCAGTTCCTCTAACTGTTTTCATATTATTTAGCCTCCAGTACCCTAATAATCTTTGTTGATCTTCTCTGTACACTTTCTAGAGTGTCAGCATCCTTTTTATAGTGTGGTGACCAAAACTGGATGCAGTATTGTAGGTGTGGTCTTACTAAGGCTTTATATATTAGACCATTTTAATTCCCATGTTTCTTTAATCTCCTGGAGATCTGCAGAGGAGCTGTACAGTAGCAAACTATAGAGATAAAACTCTATAGTACAATTTAGATCAGCACCCAAAGCTGGAGCCATGAAGAGGAAAAAAATTATAGGCATAAATTACTGTGTAATCCATTGCACTTTTTTTCTCAGTGTAGAATAGTATCAGCTTCTAAAAAAGGTGAGGTGGGGAAAGAAAGATGTTTTATACTTGAGAACTATCATGAAGCACCAAAAATGTGCTTCCCATATTATAAATACATTGTGAACTAAGAAAGAACCACAAAAAAGGGGAAAAATGAGATTTACCACCCGTTTGTCCAGTTCCGCTCCATATTGCCCCTGGAGGCAAGCCACAAGCCTCTTGTGCACATTATGTGCTGCCCGTTTGACTGGTTCAATTCTCTGTTCAACCTAAAACAGAAAGTGCAACAGTTAGCTGAGAAGAAATGAGGAGAAATTCATTTTCTATGCATCCACTGTGGTTCCCCAAACATACTGTAAGTATATGAGCATATATATATATGCAAATAGCTTCTGTGAACATCCTTTGCTTCATCTTGGCCAGTCTGTCACTCACAATTTTGTTTGTTTAAATCATTTTTAACTGCTTATTGTTGTAATCTCATGTTATACTGAGACACTCAGTTGTTAGGAGTTGGGTAACATACAAATTTGATAAAATATAAATATTTATTCATGGACTCTTGCAGTGCCGAAAATGCATTGTAGTGTTATTAAAATGACACAACTTGAGTTAAAAAAAATGCAGCCACTTTTGAAAGCATACCCAGGATAGTCTGATCATCTTCTCCTTTTGGAGATTGTGGCTAAAATACGTACATTGCATTTATCTGTGGCACATCATCATAATTTTTATTTATGTAGCTACCCTTCTCATTGTCAGAATTTTACACTGAATTCAAATATTATGGTCTTTTTTTCCCTATGCTTTTTATGCCAGGGGGAAAAAAAAACCCAGTTAAATAAAGAAAGGTCCAATGACTCTAAGATATCTTATGAGTGATGGCACTAAGACTCATCCATTTGAAAGCCTCTTCGTTGCCTTTAAAAACTCCATTAATTTAAGGACAGAGAGAGACCCAGTTCACAGTACATCTGCAGCTTTGTATGTTCTACAGTTTTGCTAGTCTGTGTTGTTTCGAATGCTCTGCATCTTATGGGGAGTTGTCCCCACCTCCCACCCCACCCAGTGGAGTCTCATTGTACTCAGCTTGCATGACACAGCTTACTAGTAGACCTTACTAGTAGATCGGAAGAGGACGATTCCAGTCCAAGATTGCCTTGTGACTCAGAGACAGAGCGAAAACAAACTGCTCAATTTGGTCACGCCTTCTCTGCCAGCACAGGGCTACAGGTAAGCACATGCCCACTAATGAAACCCGGTGCCTCACCTGGAGCAAGTCTTCAGTCAAGTAATCCGCTGTCTCTTGGGCTCTGGAGAAGGAGGAGCAGCAATGGAAGAAAGAGGTCACCAACACACTTGTGCATTAACTTTATATTATTTCAATAATGTCTATAAGCCACCACCTTACATGTTACATCAGCATTATACTTTTAGGACAATGGTAGGGTTGTTTGTAGGACAGATTGATTTATCCCTGGGAAAGAAGAATAGAATCAGGATTTTCCAGGCTCATAGTTGTCACTAACAATATACCCGGTTAGCATTCAGAAAAAAGAAACATAAAGCATGGACAGAGATGGGGACAGTTGTCCCCACAGTTATTTAGACACGTTGGTACACAGTGGAAGGGTTCTTGGGCAGTTGCAACATGTCAAGCAAATGCAGGCTTAAAATGTTCAAATGTTAGCTGTGGTTTAATTTTCACAATTCAACCTGAAGTTGAATGTAGGCCGAAGGCCTATAAATGGCAACATGAGGAATCAGCAAAAGCCTCGCCCTTGGTTCCTTTTGAAAATAATTGTTTCCAGGACTCTGGAAATGGAGCCTGAAAACTGATATTTCAACAGCACAATGCTATTTTGTGGAAAATTGGAATGCTTCCCAGATTCTGCAACACATTCTTGCCACTGATAAACAAAATAGTAAAGATGCCCTTAAGTCAAACTTGGCTCCAGTTGTCTATATGGATGTAATTGCTTTGGAATTTTCTTGATTGCAGAGATGGCTTGCCATTCTTACCTACTCCCAGACAACTGCTCTTCCAGACTAGCCTTCTGCCATAACATTTCTGGTGATCTCCTATTTCAGCTTCTATCCCAGCTGCTTAGCTTTTGAGTCCACACAGAATCAGTCAACTGTCACCATTAGATGAGGCCCATCTGAGCCATGCAAGATACCCAAAGCTCAAAATATTACCAGAACATCCATATTGAGTTTTCTGAACTCAAAAAATGTTCTTTCCTGAGGTTGGGGCAAAATGGACTGGCAAAAAAACCTGGAACACTTCCTACTCAAAAGATTACAATAGATGCTTTGGTCAAACTCTCCCCCACTTCAGTTCTTGGACAAATAACCACTAGGGCATCTTCCAGAAAAACATAGAGGACACTTTCTCACACGTCTGAAATGTTGCTGTTGCCTTATTCTTAGCCCTATGTCTGACAATATCCTCCATCTCCTTTTGTTTTTGATGTCTGTATTTGGTTAGAAACACATTCCAAGCTCTGATCTAGAGGAAATATATGGGATTTTAATTACCTTGACATGCTTAGTTTGAATTTCACAGCAAACTGAAATGAATACAAATGAATACAAATCAGGAAATCAAAGAAGATAGAAGCCAATCTCAGCAACTAAGATACCAGGAATTCAATTCCCAGAATTGGCTTGCGAATTCTGAGAATTAAAGTCCACATCTCTTAAAGTTGTCAGTATTGAGAAACACTGGTAGTATCGTCTTTTTGCTGGGTCTCCAAGATGTTGCCTTCATCTTGTACCTAACAGATAACAGATAATCAGTTGGAAGGGACCTTGTAGGTCATCTAGTCCAACCCCACCACCCAAGCGGGAGACCCAACACCATTTCTGGCAAATGGCAGTCCAATCTCTTCTTGAAAGTGTCAAGTGATGGCGTTCCCACAACTTCCAAGGACAAGCTGTTCCATTGGTTGATTGTTCTCACTGTCAGAAAGTTTCTCCTTATTTCCAGGTTAAATCTCTCCTTGTTCAGTTACCATCCATTATTCCTTGTCTGGCCTACAGGTGCTTTAGAAAAGGTATAATATAGCTTTCTTTTATCCTTACCTAAACCATGTTTCCCCTTTAAAAACAATCTGTAGCAGTTTAAAGAAATATATAATCTGATGCAGTTTGTCAATTGCTTTTTCCATTGCCTACTAAGATAAACATAGAGAGTTGATGGGACTAGCTCCACATCTATTTGTTGCTTTAGACTGGTATGGGAACATCTTTTCCCTTGGGCATTCGTCTACATTTTGTTTTTCTTCCATCTCCCAGCAGAAAATGCCGAGGAGTAGGCTGGTGGTGGCACCATGTTTGAAAGTGCCATGCTTTCCAGAGGACAGTGTGACTCTTTCAAAATCTGTATCCACTATTGCAATTCAAGTTTTTTTTTTTTTAAAAAATTGTACTTATTTCAAAACTTTGCACCTCCCTGTTAGGAATGTAAGTCACCTAACAGTTGGGTTGGAAAATATATAAGACATTTTAATACTGTCTCTTTAAGGGAATGCTAAAATTGTAATTGGGTGTGGTTCCTCAAACGGCCATAAGATGGAGCCAGAAACCTGGGTTGTTCTGTTTTGTTGTTGCTGAGAGTGTTGCCGTTCCTGCATTTCCCTATTGACTGTTGCTGATCATCGTTATTCTTAGATTTGATGTGAGTCTTTTACTGAACTGTTTTTGATACTGGACTTTGTTATTGGATTATCCCTGGACTGAAAACTGACTGCTATAACTGTGTATGACTTGGACTGTGTTGGACTTTGCTTAACCATTAACTGGAAGTAAAAACCTACATTTTACTATACAGTGTATCTGTGTGCTGGTTGTGTGTTATTCCTCGCCACTCTCACTACGTCTCCCTGTGTGCACTCATTCTCCTAACAGGGAATTACCTCAACACTGGTTATGTGCCCAGGCCATACCAGGCTCAGATAACTGAGAGTTGGTGTGAATGCACAGTACTGTATACAGACAGCTGTTTACTGTTTAATTGTGGGTTACTATCCTGGTAAAGATGGCACAAGACCTGTCAACAAGTCTATCACCGATAACCCGGTTGGATGGAACAAACTGACAACAGGCATTAGAATATTAAAGGAACATGTTCTTGCACAGGAACAGGAAGCTCAAATACAAATCCCAAAGAAGATATAAAAAGCCACCCACTCTCAACTCCATTTTGTCAGCTGTCCCAGAACCACATACTGCTGCTGGTTCTGCCAATCAATAAACCAACTTTCTTTCCAATCAGCCTCCATTTTATTCCCAGCTTGGAACTGGAACTAAATTTTTCTTCCAACAGCACCATGGTTGTTAGAGGAATGACTGCAGTTATTAAGTGAATCGTATGGCTGTTAAGCAAATCTGGCTTCCTCCATTGTCTTTGCTTAACGTCAGAAGCACCCGAGTAAGGTTGCAAATGACAATCCCAGGATCCTGCGATGCAGCAACCATTGTGAATACATGCTGGTTGCCAAGCACCCCCAAGATTTGATCACATGATGGTGGAGATGCTGCAACAGTGATAAGTGGGAGAACTGCACTTTTTTCAGTGCTGTAACTTTGAAAAATAACTAAATGAATGCTGGTTAAGTTGAGGATAACCTGCACTTCAGTCTAGGATTGGGCTGGGTGGACAGCAGTTTTTATATTGTAATAGTGCTTTGCCAACTCAAGAAGTGGATTCTTACATTTCAACTTTTAGCTCCTACTCTCTGAAAAAAGAGAGTCAGGAAAAGATGGCAATGCATAAGCTTACAGCTAAGATGACTCCAATAGTTATGGATCCGTTCACCAATTGCTGATGAACTGAAAATTACTGTTATAACATTAATGTAACATTATCTTGGGGGGGTGGGGGAATCCCATTTCAAATAAATGCTCTGCTAAAAACACAAGTATTAATGTTAATGGTTTGGGACCTTAATTGCTGCTGCATTGTTGAAATAATGGTCACAACCATCCTGGGGAGATGATGAATTCTTCTCCCTGCATTTTTTTTTATTGTGTTGTGACTGATCCGAATGGTATTTTAATGAAAGTTGCAAACAAAGAATAGTTAAACCTAAAAACATGTTATTAACACGGCCCCTTGTTTTATGCAACAACAGCAATACTTAAGTGTCCCTTTGTGCAATTAGCCTAGGTGAGCAAGTCTGCAAAGATCCTTTTCACCCCCATCTTGGAATAGGATGAGTAACTTCACAACAATTAGACAGGGAAGACAGGAAAAGCAGCTTCAGGACTCCTGAGAGGAGAACCTTGCCCTAACTCTACTGATGTCATGCCCACATTTTAAAATATATGATAAGCAGTCAAATTTCTCTGTACTTCCAGCCTAAAAAATGACAGGAACAAAGTTAAGAAGAGACCTCCTCATCCAACCTCTATGGAATCTCCCTTTTGACTGTTTTAGGACAGGAATAGACAACCAGGTGTCCTTATGTCTTGGAGTAGAGTTTCAAAATCCCAATTCAGCATGACCAAGAGCCAGAGATTACGTGAATTTTAATCAAAATATTTGAAAGGCACTAAGCTGTTTATTGTTGTGCTAGTGAAATGTGTTTGCCATTGGGAGACCAAAAGTAAAATCCTACCCATCTATAGATGTGCTGAATTGTTAAAAAGCAGCCAGGAAATACAAGAAGAATCAAGAATCAAATTTATTTTATTTATATTTCCTATTTTTTAACTGCCCATCTTCCTCAGAGATAATTGAATTTTGATTTAAATCTTCTGAAGGACAATAATATTTCAGAGTTATTCTAACAATAACAACAGGAATAGCCCCACAGTTAGATAGGTGGCAAATAAATTTAACATACAAACAAATAAAATAAAACAAACAATAAAATTATCTGTCCTGCAAAGCAAACATTGCCTTCTCTTGGAGCAAAGATGCCGCTCATCTTCTTACTCATATTTGGCAAGAAAAAGTTTCTAACCTGTTGGACTAAATTCACCACATTGATTAAATGTGATGTGGTTGGGATGCAGGGTTAGTAACAGTAGGTTGGTAAACATGAGCTAATAGAAACATGACCTTCGGCCTTTTTCTTTTTATTCGTCAGGAATGGAGATCCTATGATTTTCTGGCATTCTTGTAAATGCCATAATTCTTCCTACCTTGCCAGTTATAACTTATCGCTTGCATCTTTAGAAGTTTACCAATCTCCAGTTATTTCAGGGATACATAAGATCAACAGTATAAGCCTTTGATTGATAGCTGCTATTTTAACTGCTCAAGAAAGTGACTAAACATGAAACTGATATGCTCAGGATATATATATGATGAGATTATAGCAATCTCATCGCCTACAAATATTGTACAGAATCTGCTATCTGAAAACCTCTGCTTTTATTTTAGGAAAGAGCAAAAGTGTCTATGCTTCTTTAGATGAGGTTTCAAAGCATGTGATTGTTCACACACACAAAAAGATTCCAGTTTTACTTACAACAGGGAAAGGCAGCTTTCAGTTCTGCAGAATCCAGTTTTTGTTTCACTAATACCACAGACCATCAGTTGAACTACGGTATATACACAAAGGGTACTATATAAGCCCCTCAAAAGCCCCTCTCCTTCTCTGATAGGAATAATAGATGGATTCCGCATTTTCTACCCTCAAATCAATTTATGATTAGCCCCACTATTTTCATTTCAAGAGTTGCTGTTCTTAGCACTTCTCCTGCTAAGGCTCTGCTTGGTTTGCCCTGCATCACCTGGTTCTTACAGGTGAATCTATCAATGCATGATGCAGTAAGAAGGAATTATTTAGAATCTAGCTTGTTGCAGAGTCTGATGCTGATCAAGCTTGAGGGGGATTGCTTAGCTCAAGGTTATCAAACTGGTTTCTGCAGCCAAGGGAGAATGAGAATCTGAGTGTCCACACTCCTACTCCAGAACCTTAACCACCACAGCATACTGGCTTTCTTAATTTCAGCAGTGAGATCAACAGCATCAGGCTCAGCAACAAGCTATGATAAGAATGGAGAGATCACTTTGTTCTTGTTAACCAATTGGGAATCAGAACTCTTCCCCCTTTTGGTTGCAAAACCTGGGTGTTGAAGTCTTAACAGAGTTGCAGGAAATGAGGGCTATCTGTTGTGAGAAAATTCAGCACATTGCTAATCACCATGGAAGTTTTTTAGAAGTCTGCTGAGTGAGCATTGGGGTGGCATAGGAAGGTGATCCTGTAAGCCATTAATAAACTGTAATTAAATAATTCCACAGAAAAGGTAGGGTTGTGAATACATGCCCTGTACTAGATTTTTTTTGTGAGGGGGTGTACCTCCATCGAGAGCTACCCTGCAAGAATTTTAGCTACCCTTCAGCTAGAGGTACAAAATCTAAATCCAGATGAACTTTTAAACACAAAGTACTAGCACCCCAAATTGCATAGAAAGTCTAGCAATGTAGCCAAACAACTAGTCCTTACCGTCCACTGCTACTGGGGTAACTGAGCTGTTGCCGCATCCAGTTAAACTGCTTCTTCATCATTCTGTGGGCCAAGCTGAAATAGCACCACGAAGGCAAGAAAAGAAGCCAGAGGCTTTAGTATCTCCTCAAGACAAGACAGCTGCACTTGCTGCCATGCGTTGCTCTCTCTCTCCCCGCCTTCACTGCAGGCTTCTTCTTGTCACTTCCTTGTCATCTTCTAGTTTGACCTCCTTTTTCTTCTCCACCTATCCTCCCTTTGTGTCTTTATGCCTCTCCTCCCAATTCTACTTCCTTCTCATGGTTTCCCCTTCCACTAATGAGCTTTACTCATCTTTTTCTGGGTGCTACTTTACTTTTTTTTTTTTTTTTGCAAACTTTCCAGCTTCCTAATTCTCTTGCTCCTTCTAGCCTCTAACACCACCTTTCCTTGTGCTTGTCAGGTAAAATTGGTGGCTGTTTCTCCGAGTTCCTGTCACCACCCCTTAAAAAAAAAAACCACACAAATAACTTCAGCCAAGACGTAAAGGGGAAATATGATTACAGCAAACATGAAACAAGGCAGAACAAGCTGATTTGCAAGGCTCATGTGGTAGCACTTCCTACTTTTTTCTGTTTTTTTTTCTTTCTCCAGTGCTTAATAGTGAATGTTTGATACATTAACATAAAGGTTTGTACAAAGATGACAGCCCGTTGATTAGAATAGGTGGCAAAAATGAGCCTGCATGTTATCTGAGCCATGATTTATAAATAAGCCATCATATCTAGATTCACATAATAAGCTGCATTAGGGCTGAGCAAGCTTCTTATGGCTTAGCATACTGTGTGAACGGACCAGAGGAAAACTACCTATAAAATACATACTCATGCACATTTGATTTACGAGTGTTCCCAGACAGGATCTCAAAGAGAATTGATCAGTATTACCTCTAGGCAAAGGAAAATGGGTTTTTCAAAGGCTTGGACCTCTTCAAGCAAAGCTGATAACGTGCAGTGATTCCAACTGTTTTAGTTGTGACCACACAAACAAAATATCTGTAATGATAAATGATGATATTCTGCCTTTCTGGAAATTTTCAGCTGCGTACTGATGCCGAGAGAAAATAAACATCAGAACAAAAACTATCTTAGAAAATAAAGATTCTAAGTGTGCAAGATACAGCATTCTGTTACATGCTGATATTACACTCATGCCCACTGTTTTATTTTTCATCATCTCTAGTTCTGGAGATTTAATGCTCTTACCAACACCTTCTCAACTACAATGGATAAAAACATGGTGGGTGATTTTTTAAAAGCAAAGCCTCCATAATAAAACCATGGGTATGCCTCCTTGATACTTGTGAAAATGCAACTTTGTAATGCATGTTTTTTCAACTTCATCTTTTCATGTTTTTTTTTTAAAAACCACTCCATTTCTATGAATACCAAATTTAAAATCTTTCTAATATTTCTGTAATTACATTTTTCTTTTTTTGTTTGGTTCAGGCAGGTATTTAAACATGAGTTTACCTGTCAGTTTTCAACAAGAATACAGAAATAAGATAGATATAAAAATATATGAAATCAGTATGCCAAAGTTAAGGCACCAGTTAAGGCTGTATGTTTCAAAGAATCCCTAAATGAATAGAAGCTGAAACAAAGGTGAACATAGCTTTATCCTACTTTTTACATGCAATTATTTACTGATTCAAACTAAGAAATCAGTGAACATGAAAAATGCAAGTTTGGATATCCTTTTAGTTACCGTACTTCCTTGTAATACCATTTTTTCCAGAAATAACCACTTCCAAATGCTGAATCATAATATTTGTTGAGGTAATTCCCATTTAGGAGAATGAGCGCATGCAGGGAGATGTATAGAGCAGGGGTGTCCAACCTTTCACCTTCCCTGGGCCACATTAGAAGATGAAAATTTGGTTTGGGCCGCACATAAAATAAAATAACAGTAACCATACCCGATCATCCCAAAAAACCATAGAAAACATAGTTAACATATTAAATTTATTTAGAAATAAAGTTAGTGAGATGTTTTTATTATTTATTATTTATTAAAAATTATTTATTTTTTATCACGGTTTTTCTATCACAGTTTTTTTATCACAGTTTATTTTCCGGCCAAATTTTGCGGGGGGGGGGGGAAAGCTCGCCTGCCTCACGCCTACCTCTCCTCCTGCAAATAGCCCGGCTGGATGAGGCAGGACTGGAAGGCAGAAGCAGCAGCAGCAGCGGCGGGGGCAGAAGCAGCAGCGGGGAAAGGCTTCTGCCCCCGCCGCTGCCACCGCTTCTGCCCCTGCCGCCGCTGCTGCTTCTGCCCCCGCCACCGCTTCTTCCTCTGCCACCGCTGCTGCTTCTGCCCCCGCCGCCGCTTCCCCCCCGCCGCTTCTGCCCCCGCCGCTGCTTCTTCCCCCGCCACCGCTGCTGCTTCTGCCGCCGCCGTTTCTGCCCCCGCCACCACCCCCGCCGCCGCCGCTTCCCCCACCGCCGCTTCTGCCGCCGCCGCTTCTTCCCCCGCCACTGCTGCTGCTTCTGCCACCGCCATTTCTGCCCCCGCCCCCCCCCCCGCCGCCGCCGCTTCTTCCCCCGCCACCGCCACCGCTTCTTCCCCTGCCGCGGGGGCAGCGGTGGCGGGGGCAGAAGCAGCAGCAGTGGCGGGAGAAGAAGCGGTGGCGGCGGTGGCAGAAGCGGCTGGGGCAGAAGCGGCAGGGGTGGCGGCGGGGCAGAAGCGGCGGGGGTGGCGTCGGGGGCAGAAGCAGCGGCGTCGGGGGCAGAAGCAGCAGCGGTGGCAGGGGCAGAAGCGGCGGCGGTAACAGCAGGAGGTGGCGCTCTAACGGCGCCCACCTTTTCTCTTGCTGCTTGGCCTGGCGCTCGCCTCGCCCCGCCTTGCGCCTGCCTCTCCTCCTCCTTCTCGCTGGCTGTAGCACGATGGTTGGGGTGGGCACTGGGCCACATTACGAGGCGACCTTGGCCGCATGCGGCCCGTGGGCCGCGGGTTGGACAAGCCTGGTATAGAGAGTAGTGTTTGAATAATACACATACAGTACACAGATACACTGTACAGTAAATGTAGGTTTTTACTTCCAGAAAGTTTAAGCAAAGTTCAAGATAAGCAGTCCAAAGTCATTCACAGGTAAATCAGTCAGTTTTTCAATCCAGGGATAATCTAATAACAAATTCCAGTGTCAAAAACAGTTCAGTAACAAACTTATATCAAATCCAGAAATAGCAGTCAATTAGGAAAAATGGAGGAACGGCAATACTTTCCAACAGAAGGAAACAGAGATACACTCACACTTTCCTGAGACTCAGACTAAACAACCCAGGTTTCTGGCTCCATCTTATGGCCATTTGAGAAACCACACCTAATTACAGTTTTGCATTTTCTTAAAGATACAGTTTCAAAATGTTTATCCTGGTTTATATATTTCTAACCCAAATACCTGTTAGGTGACTTATATTCCTAACAATATTGATCAATGGTGCCTTAATATTTGCACAAATGTATACACACGTCCACATACCCACATATGAATTATAATTAACAATCCACAACAGATAAAAGATGTTCATTTCATATCACTTGGTTGGGTTGTGAAATTCAGTATTACAGTAGTCTTTTAAAAATAAATTAGTAACATTTTTGAAGATTTAGTTTATTAGCAACAATCATTTACAATGCAAAATGGATTTTCAGGTATGAAGTATGTCCTGGTGGTGATGAACAGGTCTGGACAGTGATCATCTTCATATGCTGGTTGAGCCCTTCCAGAAACGTTTGTCTTGATGCTACTGGAAATAACTTCAGAAAACAGTTAAGACTTGCATCATGCAACTGCTTCCCATCTCTAAATTCTGCTTTTATAACCAAGAACAACCGTAACAGTTTATATACTCCCAACAAAATGTCTTTATTATCTGATAGGACCACTGAGCTATGTTAACTGGAGGTCACGCACATGTTCATCTGAGAGTCAAACAAGGACCTTATTGTATGATTACAGAAAACACACATATCTTTCATTGTCTTCCTTCTAACAGGTGTAACAACTTTCTTGACCTTTGACCACTTGCTTCCTTCTCCAAATTTCCTCTTCATCTATAAGTAATCCCCTTAATAACTGCTTGGTGCCATTCACTCGCTATATTATGGAGGAAGGCTCTGCCCTCATAAAGATTGAAACGAATGCATATTATTGTATTGCACCTTCAACTGAGACAAAGAGAGCCACTGATTTGACTGAAGAATTAACTGAAGAAATTTATGTTTACTTTTTACTAGCAGATGCAAACTTTGTTCCTGTGGCTTATAAAACTCATATATGGCTGATAGCAATTAGTGCAAGCATGATTATCCATGTTTTATTTGGTGTATGCTTTAATCAATTTTGTAGCTGTTTTCTATAGGTTTTATTGTCTGGGATTTTGACTTGTAATTGAGAATTTCATTCAAATTATGGTCTGAGAAATAGGAAACCTGAAGGAAAAGGCAGGAAAGCAGTCATAGTCCAGTTGAGAAGTCAATTTTATAAGTAGTCCATGTTTGGTGACCATTTGTAGTTACAACAGTGATGAAAAAGTAACTTTACAACTAATCTTTGCATTTATGATGTTCACACTTATGCTCGTCACAAATTTATAAAGCAAAGGGGAACTGAAATAAGATTATAAGCAGTCGTAATTTCACTTAGTGACTGCTTTAACAACTGAGTTTGTGGTTGCTAAGCAAGAATTACATATAGTTGTAGACAAGAAAAAAAGATTTATCTCAGCACTTACAGTACCCTAAATCTAGATATTCAAGGAACTGAAATAGAACTGATATACACGTTCCGAATTGTATATGTAACTGAAATTATTGAGTAATTATTGCAGAGGTGGTATTCAGCAGGTTCTGACCAGTTTTGGAGAACCAGTAGAGGAAATTTTGAATAGATCTGAGAACCAACAAATACCACCTCCGACCGGAGATTTTACAGATTTTACCCCTGCCACGCCCACCAAGCCATGCCCACAGAACCAGTAGTAAAAAAAAAATTGAACCCCACCACTGAATTGTTGCATTTGCTTTTGAGGTCTGGAATTTTATGTAGAAAGACTAAGCATATTCCAACCCTTTTTAACTTAAACAAGATTAGCCAAGTGCTGACACCCTTTAGTATCTTCCAAAAGCACAGTGTAAGGGGGTATAAAGCAAATGAAAATTATGAGAAAGAAGCTTATAGTAGTATGCATTTCAATTTAGTGGAAGCAAGACTTTTGATTCATAGGCTATGGGGAAAAATCATTAAATAATTGTTGCTCGAATGTATTTGTAAAATGAATAGTGGTGATAAAGATTGATTGCAATTTTTTTTAAAAAAATTATAGAGATAACAATGGTCAGAATCAAAGAGTTTTTCAGTGCACTGGTCAGAGAATTCTGCATAACTCAATTTTGTAAAAATTCCAAAAAGACAAGAAAGTAAGCATAAGATGGATTACTTTGAATTTACCATCTCTAATGGGTTTTATTTAATTCTGAAATATTTAAGATTGTATTTCCAAGAGACAGGATTAAATTGTCTAAATAAATACATTTCTGTCTTAGAATTCCTCATAAATGTGTTGCCTGTGAGATGATATGCACTTTATAACATACAACATAGCAGTGAAATGTTTAAACTAAAGTCTTGATCCACTGGATGGACAGCTTCATTCTTGTAAATTGTGTAAGGAAGTAACAGCAGGGTATTCTTCCCAGCTCAAGATAGCATAAACAACCACTCTAGCCACTATTCTATCTGTAGCAGTCATCCATTGGACTGCAATCTCTCAAATACCAGGAATTATGTGAATTGAAATACAACATATTTAGCAGACTTCCAGCTTAGAAAAAATCATTATATAATAATTCTTCTGAAGCAATCCTGCTACATTAGTTGATTGTAGTGGTAGTGCTATCCTGGAAGTGATGAGTGAAGAATTCTGGGAGTATATACCAAGGAGATATATAGATGACACACACACACACACAGAGTTGTCATCAATCCATTTAAAACAAGATAAATCAACATCAGCAGGTATTGCGGGCCCAATTGGCAAAATAAAGCTCAGGATCGTATTGGCTGGAAACATGCAGACGAGGCCTTCATCCTGCAATGGATAGACAATGGCTAAACTGATGTTGGTGATGATGATGATGATGATATACCCAGATATGAAGATCTCAGCTAATTAAAGCAGGTAGGCATCAGTGATATAGGAAATGCTGGAGGTGGATGATCGGTTTTGTGACAATGGCAAAGGCATAATTTCATACCATGCAGAAGGCAATGCTAAACTATTCCTCTATTTTAGCAAGAAAGCCACTTAGAAAGGTATATCGAGCCTCAGTGGCACAGTGGTTAGAGTGCAATACTGCAAACTACACCCACTGCAATTTGGCAGATCGAATCTCACCAGGCTCAAGGTTGACTCAGCCTTCCATCCTTCCGAGATGGGTAAAACGAGGACCCAAATTGTTGGGGGCAATATGCTGACTCTGTAAACTGCTTTGAGAGGGCTGTAAAGCGGTATATAAGTCTAAGTGCTATTGCTATATAAAGTGTATAAAGTGACTGACAATATAGTGCCAGAAGAAGGGCCCTTCGGATCAGGTGGCATCCAATGTTCTCCTGAGAAAAAGCTGAAGTTCTTTCAGAGTGTTAATGGTATTTACAATGCAATCAGTTTAAAGACTCTGGAATGGCCAGTAACCAATATTGCCATGTACGAGAGGAAAAGCTGGAGCTGCAAAGGCAGAATTACTGTGGGAGCACAGGACACAAGAAATATGAACACGGGATGCTCAACATAGTTGAAATGAACCAATAACACATTCAAAATCTTATGAAATGTTCTGGAATTGGACTTTTCAGTCAGAAGATCAGGTTTATTACTCAGAACATGAAGAATGAAGGAAGAACAAAGCTACTTTCATAATTAAGGAGATACTGTAGCAAGCAGAATAATGGGAAATGATGCAGTCAATGACTGACTATTAGATTTTGCAGACAACACTTTAACATGACACTTACATACTTGTATCCTCCAATCACCGGCATAGAAGAGAACAGCAATGGGTCAAGTTTAATGTGAAATTGGTAGAACACGTAAGCTTGTGGTTGGAAATTAGAATGCCAAAGTAGGAAATAGTTTAAGGTTAAAAAGACAGTTGGATCTATGGTCTAAGAAACAGAAATGAAGCAGAATAGTCTGTTTTTGCTAATCCATTTTATTGCTAACATTCTTTAAACAACCAAAATGACATCTGTATAACTGGACATCATCAGATAGGGTGCACAAAAATCAGACTGACTATATTATTGATACAAGGCAGTGGAAGAACTTGGCTGTAACAGCAAAGATGAGGCTGGCTGTGCAATAACTCTGAAGTACATATGTGCAAGTTTGAAATCAAACAAAAGTGGAAAAAAGGCAATCAGCTTCCATAATATGATCTTGAATACATGCTAACCATTTTCAAGATCACAAATTGTTTTGAAATCTTGAACCTCATTGATAGGGAACTAGAAGAACTGTGAATTAAAATCAAAGAAGTATTAATGTGAAAAAAAGATTGCCAAAGATCAAGAAATAGAAGGAAGTAAAATGGATGGCAGAAGAAAGTAAATAGCCAAGAGAAAAGAAGTTAGACACAAATCTCAGGGAAAAACTTACCAAAAATTTCAGAGTACAACTAAATGAGGCAAGAAGCAGAGGCAATGAAAACACATTAAAAATGAAAACAAGTACAAAAAAAAGCCCCAAGTTTTCCAAGATCTGTTAACTTAGAAGTTCCAACCTCAAACTGATATACTAATCAATGTCAGTGAAATGGTAGTATAACTAATAATTGATTCCAAGAAGATCAATCAAGATGGAAAGAGTAAATGGAAATACTGTACATTAGGGATAATTATACCAATATACCTTTAAAGATGCTCCCTATTTTTGAGCACCTTTAGTAGAAAAAAAGAGGCCAATATTAGTAAGTCAGAGGTCTTTAAGAATGGAATATCTGCAGAACTATGCAAGTGACAGAAGAATTAATAAAGGTTCTAATCTGTTAATGGTATGTGGAAGACAGGAGGAAGAGCTTCAGACTGGACAACTGATATCTAAAAGATGTCATAGTCCATGGAAGGAGAAGAGGCACGAGAAGCATTTCAGAAGGAACTGTCCCTAACACTCTGGAGAGAAAAAGGGGAGGAGGGCCAACATATTTTCAGTCTTGTAATATTTTGTCAATTTAACCTTACAACAAAGATAGAACTTACATTCCCTATTGAGCTTCTTGTCTGGGTTACCTCAAACAATCGACATAATCAAACTATGCCTGCAAATTAGGAGAACACTACAGTAGGCTACAGAGATCAGTCTGTATCCCAATACAAAAATAAAATAAAATAAAATAGCAAAATGTCCAAACTATTGTACAATATTCTTAACTCTCTCGTGCTAGCAAAACAATATTTAGGATCATACAATGTAAATTAGAGCCGTATAAAGAAAGGAAAACCCAGGCATTAAAGCTAGTTTTAAAAAAGACTGAGGAACAAGAAACATTATTATTGACATGTGCTGGATAAGTGAGAAAGCCAAAAGTACCCCAGTGAAATCAGTACTTGTTTCAGAACTATACAAGTCTTGGATTTTGTTGAACATGTCAAATCATGTACAGTAGCGTCCCTAGGAAAACAGGAATCTCAGAGTATCTCATGGTTGTTTAACACGGTTAAACAAACTGACTTCAGGTCAGTAAAAGATGAGATAAGGTTGTATACTCTCTCCCGATTCATTCAATTTATATCCTGGATATTTTACTGAGAAAGGCTGGATTGGAAAACAGTAAGTATAGAATTAAAATTCGAGACAGAAGCATCACAAATCTGCAGTATGCTGATGACACTACTCTGATAACTGAAAATGCAAATGATATGCAAGCTCTAGTAATGAAAGCAAAGGAGCACCAATGGAAAAATCAAGACTAAGATTAAATATAAAGATGATCAAACTAATGACAAGAGATACAACCACTACCTTAAAACTGACAAATAAATATACTGAAGTGATAGACAGTTTCTACCTTTCAGAATTGATAATCAACAGTAAAGTGGTAGTGAAGAAATACACTACAAGTTAACACTTGGTAGGATCGCAATTGAAGGCTTTGGAAAAGATACACAGATAGTGTGAAATGTTTGTATTATAAATCAGATCAGAATTGTGGAGGCAATACTTTTCTGTTACTCTATGGAAGCAGAAGGTGGAGGATAGGAGAAGAAGCAGAATAGGAAAAAAAAAATTAGAAGGTTGGTTTTGCTAAAGGCTCCTGATAATACCAGAGATAGCCAAGTGGATCATAAAACAAATCAATCTGGAGTTCTCATTCAAGGCAAAGATGTCCAGACTCAAATTCTGTTTGAAGGTATGTGAAGATCTAATGCTCCTGACAAATCTAAAAGATGACCAGCAATGAAATGGATGGAAATGATCACAACAGCAGTGGATGCACTGCTGGAAAATCTGAAGGACCGTTCACTTGGCCTAGCTTTGTGGCCAGTAAGAATCAACACCAAGCTGATGGGATATAATAAATCAACGTTGCCTAATAGAGGAGGAAAATGTGTATCTCTGATTCAGGATACTTCTCAAGTGTGTTAAAATAGAGAAGGTGTTCTTTTCGATTCCTTGTTTACTTAAATTAAGGTGTTTGTTAAGACATTAAATTTCAGTTTCACTGAGGTTAAAAAAGAGCTCATTGGTTGTCTTGCACAGATTAAGGGCATATGGAAAAAAAGTCATTTCTGGGAGGTTGCAGTCACCATCTCACAACCTGCAAAAATGATGAATAATCTGGCTGCCCTTATGTGGAATAATTATGGCTTTCTGTTAAATTTTATTAATCTATCACTGATGTATACTAGTATAATCTAATATAATTATTCTTTCTTACAGATCACTGTCAGCTTCCTTTCTGAAATCCAATCAGCCTAATTAAGGTACAAAGAAGATTACCACAGAAGATGTAAACATTTAGTTATGGTACAATAATGTCCACCAAAAATAGAAAGGAAGCAAATTCATGAAATGATATAGCAATCTGAGAAGTTGTGTGATGGAAATTTGTAGACAGTAGCAATATCAAGCCCCAAATAAGGCATCAATCTCCACCTGTACTTACTCCTATATCTCAAATGCAAGTATGCATTTCCTCCCTTTCCAGTTATCACGTAGCAGAAATTACTGCTGCAGAGGCCCTGCAAAAAAGGCAGCAGGAAGAGGAAGTGAGAGCTATTAATATATGCAGAGTAGATTTGGCCACAAACTATAACACACAGTTTGAGGTTATAATAACCCTGCCTAGAAGAGGAGTAGAAAGGACTGTTGGCCAAGTTTCCTCGAGTTAAAAACTATGCTTAGCATTTGCAGCCATTTCTTGCTTTCTGCCAAATTATATTGCTCTGTAATTGCTCTACAGATCACTATACAAACACTACCTTGCATGAAATATGGAGGCAACTGTGGTCGATATAGTCATATCTTAGTTATGTTCGAAGTTTCTGCACTAAAACAGGAATTGAGACTGAGGAACATAACTCATTATGACTGGAAATGGTTGCTCTACATTTATCCTTCTACTGAGTCTGCATAAAATATCAGTAAATTGCTTTAAAATGCATTAGTATTTTTATATAAATGCTTAGTATTTGTGGATTATCAAGTGTTTGTCAGGGCTAACCTCCAGGACAGTTTTAAAAACAGACACGAATACCCGTAAATATCCCAAACATGTTACAGAAATCCAGAAGCAAGGAATTAATGATGCATTTTGCGAGTCTTGCCCCTTACATTTCTAGCCTATCAGACTGCATTAAAAGAATGCGCCAGCAATGGCACTAATTCACAAAGGCAAGATTTCGGTTAACTGGTAGAAACACCATAAAGTGTTACAAAAAGATGAGATATTTGCATAATACATTCAGTTTCTCAGTACATCTTTTTAAAAGTGCAGATTATACTGTACATAGTACGGATTTGGCCCAAAATAGAGATGATACAAGCAGAGTTCTATGTAAGCCATGATATGAAGAGCCACTACTCTTTTCCACCAAAAACAGAGTGACTGCAAACTATTCAAGTTCAAAATGAAGTTTATAAATTACCAACAGGAGAAAAACAAGAGATTTGTAAGACTACAACTCTATACAGGATCCTCATGCTATTTCAGGAGGTCCCAGATCTTAGAATGCACTTTAGGGAAAAATATTTCTCATTAATACACCAGACTTCGCACGGTATATTTTGGGGCTCCTTTCTATGTGCAGAACTTGTGAGTGTGTGTGTAGATACATGCACACAAAAACAGAGACTTCAAAACTTAAATGAAACCAGCTCTAAAATAAGCAAGGGGCAAAGATAAAACCTGAAAAGAGAGACTAGAAATTAAAAGTATCCAGTCATAGCAGAATCTAACCAGAAATATTTCTCATCAAAACCTGTCAATTTGACTGAAGAAAGTATGCAACTCTGTTGGGTAAAAATGTCATTCACTGTCTCAATCCCATTTAGTTTTTGCATTTAGTTTTTGCAATGCTTAGTTTCATCCGTCTTAGTGCAATTTATTATAAAACCAGTTGAGAACTCTTCCATGGACATTTTGCTCATGAAAATAAATCTAACAGTCCTATAGACTGCATGTTTCCAAGTCTAAATGAAGAAGGGAGCTATAGTTGCTAATGGTTTGAAGGGAAGCATATTTAGGGGAATATCTTTCTCTCTCAACAATTTTCTGTTATATTCTGGTGGATTTCAAAGACTGGATTATGTAAGATGGAGCTAGGAGCTTTGCATACAACAATGTGGACCTGAAGATGGATCCTGCAACTTCCTGCACACAGTATATTGGTATAGCTTACTTCCTTTCCCAGAAAAACAAATCATGGAGCAAAACAGTTTTCAGACTTCCCTTATAAAACTTGGTTCCCCATCCTGTTAACTCAGTCTAGTTCAGACTCCTGGAGTGTTAATCAATACATTGAGAATTAGGCCAACACTCCTCCCCTTGTCCAGCCTTTGGGAGAATGAAGGCCTTGTGAGCAAAACAGAAACAGCTACCCTGTAGTCCTAAAGATGTTTAATTCACGAAGCTTTAAATGGGACAGCTAATTCTCCTGTGACAAAGTACTGGGTACTTATCTTGCCCCATCTTTTGTCTTGCAGCTTTTGTGTTGCAGCAAAACAAAAAACAAAAACCAAAACCCAGAACTGATCTATTAACCTGAACATGTCAGGGCTGCTTGTGTAGAAGTGGCATTAATGGGAAAGTGTAAGATCCAATCCTATTTCAGCAGATTTGGGAAAGCTGTACAGAAGAAGATCTAAAGTGTCTCTTCAAAGCTCATCTGTGCTGATATCATTCCACTGAAGGAAAAGCAAAAAGGGAGACAACAAGATGAGGGTAAAGGACAAATCAAATAAGAACCGAAATCAAAGAACAGGGAGCAACTCAATCTTTCTTGTCCCTCTGACCCCAAGACAGACACCCCCTCTTGTTCTTCTCTGCCTCTCATCCTCCTGCGCCTGCCTTTGCAGTCTGAAAGCAGAGTCCAAACAGCAGCCAATCCTGGGAAGGCTCTGGTCCTAAGCGAGGCAGAATCTTTAGAAACATGACCCAGCACACTGGCTGTGGCACTAGAGATTTCCCCATGATTCTGGAGGGGGGAACTGGTCCACATCTCCCATTTCATTGTAAGTCTGATCTGCCATGGTGAAGGTCAACTTGTATCGTAGTCTTACTTTCTCCTAGACAGAGAAAAAGATATATAACAATTAAGAGAAGGACTCGGGGATAATGGCCGAGATTTGCAAATGTGGGGTAGGAGTGGAGTAGAGAGGAACTAAGACTTCTGAGGAAGACAACTCTAGATCAAGAACACAGACCCACTTATTTTCCTTAAGGAGGTATGGTTACCTTTTGTGGATTTGCAAGGAGGAGGACCTGGGTGATTGCTGTAGGGGGCACTATTGGGTTGAATGGTGGGAGCTCTGTCCCTGAAGGTGGCTGCAATTTCACTTTCATCACCTGTACAAAGAAAAGCACATAAATACAACTCTATGATTTAACCATTAAAGAACAAGAGTTGCCTCCATACAGCCAAATAATGGCATTACTTAATTAGAAAGGTTGTAGGCTTTGTATCTCCCCTCTGGAAGAATTGGACTGATAAATTAAACCACATCCATTAGAAGTTTGATTAATATAATAATATGACTCTCCGGATCTTTTAGTTAATAATTCTAATTCAAGGCTTGTTTTACAGCCTTTACGAATATTACATTTCTTTTCTTTCAATGACAATGGGAAATACTAAAGCAATTGTTGTTTAAAAATCTTTAACTAGCTAAACAAAATTATTTCAAGGAACAGGCCATTGCAATCACTGTACCAAGGGCAGCATGGAAGTATATCATCAACACATTGATCAGCCATGGGACTTGCTCCTTTCAGATCAACCTGCATGTATGGAAGTGAAACCTTAACCCCAAACAAAAAAGCAGAATTATTTGAACGTAACTGGTAGTGGTTCTCAAAGTCTCAGATTTTTAACAAATGTTACATTTTAAACTATTAATCAGCAATAGCCTTTTGGGTCAGAGAAAATAAGGAATGAAACCAAGTCATGCCTTTCACTAGTAAGTTATGATTTCTCCTTAACTCAATTGGAAAAAAATCAGCAGAAGTTGTAGGCAAAGTAAGTACTAGATAGATAAGCACTTACTTAGGCACTTACACTAGGTAAGTAGAGGCTGGGTGGTGACTTCCTAGTGTTCTCAAACAATTAAAATACTGTCCAAGAAATTTTCAGTTGCATAAAAATATTACCTTGGGGACAGCAGACTGAAAGATGATGTTCCGAATGGGCAGAGGGGCTGTGCTTAGCATAGAAATGACCACCACTAGCACATCAGGTCGGTCAGGCAGAGAGTCCTTTGCAAAGTGGAAGAGGACACGGAAACCATGCTGGTCATACACAGTCACTGGGAGGATGTTGCCTAGAATAAGTAGCAGGAGAGGCATAAAATATGAGAGAATATTGACTGGTCCACTCTAAAGAAGCAGTCAGTCATTGACTAAATGTTATTACAGTCAGGAGGTAGGACTAGAATGACCAACCCCCACCTATCTCACCCCCCCACCCCGAAATTCTATCTCTCTTAGCTTGGTTGTCCTTTACATTTCAAGTAGTAGGAACCCCACATTTTAACTTTCCAGATTGAGGCAATGGAGGTATGCTTCAAATGTAAAATGAGAAGACAAACCACAATCTTTCCCCCAAGTTTTCTAACTTGCATTAATGTCAGACACAAGGAACCAGAGTGACATTCTAAGCTGATCAGAGTTGCGTCGTTATTGTTGTCTGTCTATTTATAAGAATCTCATCAGACTGACTACATTATTTTGGGAACAGAAAGTTAAAGGCTATCAAGAATTCTAAGGTGTGGGGAGGTTTCCTGGCCTCCATCGCTTCCCTCCCTGCAAGGACGACTCCAAGCTCCCCAGTTTTTCCACTTCTCCCCTCTCCCTCCCTCCCCCCACCAAGCAAGAGATTCCACCACAATAAATGAGCTAAGCCAGATGCTTATTATTATTTGGAGACCGTTCTCCAAAACTTTGCCCAAACTCACTTGGCTTGATGGATTCCAAAGGCACGGTGACATTCATCAGTGAGAATTCCAAGGGGTGTGTGGAAGCTGGGAGACCTGCTGGAAGGCTTGCGCTTCCAGAAAGAGTCGGTGACCCTTGAGGGGCCAAAACAGGGGCTGTTTTTTCCAAGGGCAGGGTGACCGCAGGGTTTGAAGAGAGATTTGGGAAGACAGACGAAGCGCTATTGGTGCTCAGAGATGGACTGGAAGTGCTTTTGTTCTGGAGATCACGCAGGGTTAACCGAGGAGGTGGCTGCTTCTCCCTGCAAAGTTTGAAAGAGAGTGAGATTTTCAAGAGAAAGGCCAAGAACTGGCTTCCCCCTCAGCAAAAGCTACACCCTTTTCAGAAACGCTCTCTGTCCTTCCCCTCCTTGCTTCCTACCATCTGACTTGAAGAGATTCTGGGGGAAGAGACTGCTGCAACAGAGTCTTGCCTAGCAGATCCAGGTCATCCATACCACTAGTGGCAGCAGGAGATGCAGGCTGTCCAGCTTCAGCTTTCCCTATTGGAGTTGGTAGTCCTTCTGGGCTTTCAGAAGACTAAAAAAAGAAAAAGGAAGAAATTTTGATACAGCTCCCCACAAAAGCACAGCCAAACTGAATAGCTTAAGTATAACCATTAGATAAAGAACAGTATATTCACATGCAGTACAAAGTGCAGAAAAATCCTTGGGTTTCTTGCACACATGTTGACAGCAATTTCAAATAACTGCAGTCCTCCAGATAGGATTAGGAAAGTCTACAATTTTCTGCACAGCAGATGAGATTTGCACAGAATCTACAAGGCCTGCACAAGAGGGTCATGCATAAGCACACCAAAGTGCCTACCGTCCCTGTCCTATTCTTTCTTTTATGTTTTTTTATTTTTCTTATATGTATCCATGTATTCATAACTATGTTTTTACTTATAGCTATTATCTTGAAAACAATTGGCAAATAAAAATAAATAAAAAATAAAATAAATTCAAGGAATGACATGGATTCAATTATTTATTTGTGGTCATCTCTATTCTGTGTGCTGTTTCATTAAGCTTTCTAACATAAACTTTGCCTGAAAAATGGGAGGCTCAAGTGTGCTGGTCTTTTTATATCCCTTTCAAGAAAGTAAGGTCTCCCTTATTTGTTTTACAAAAAGACAGCTGGGGGGGGAAACGAGAACAGGAGCTTGATTCACACTTTGGTTGCATCTATTTTCCTGAAATAAAACTCTAATGATTTTCTTCTTCTCAAATCAAGATCTAACAATCTGAAATTAAAGCAGATCCAGAAAAACAAGCAACTCATATTAGAGGATTTCCTTCATAAAAGTTACTTCTGCACACAACCTTGCTCACCTATCTATGCTACAGAAACATTTCAACATGCAAAGGCATCTTTATAGACCTAGTCAACTAAAATAAACTTCATTTATATTTCCACTGGATAAGCTGTACACATTTTGATTGAAGCATCTTTAATCTACACTTAGTATAAATATGAAGAATCTGCACTCACAGCTTTATTTTTCATTATCCATTGACTTCTAGTTGCAAAGTTGTAGGATTTATCAACCAGTGATGTCCTTTCAGCTTTCAGATGCTTACCTGGAAACTGTTCCACCCACTGTTGTCTCCACCTTGGACTGAAGAAGTTGCTTGATCAGTAAGCCCTAGGCAGAGGATCAGAAAGAACAGATATGTGAGGAGTGAGGAGCCCAAACTACAATAGTATTCTAGTAACTCAGTATAATATGGAAAACAAATTAAAATATTCCAACAATGATTAAAACAGTACATTAACTAATAGTCATAAAATGTCCCCAATGCACAATAAAATCAATTATAATAGAACAATAAAAGAAAAATAAAAGGAATAAAAAGGCAAGAATTCATGTTGCATTGCATAAACTTAGGGAGAATGCTTTCTGAAATAGTTCTATGTTAACATTTCTTGAAAATCATAAGGAGTGGCTATCTCCATCAGGATGCTCTTCCAAAGCTTTAATAAGAATAAATGGAAAATCACAATTCTGATGTCTATGTATATACCGTACACAGGTAGTCCTCGACTTAGAACCATTCGTTTAGCAACCATTCAAAGTTATAACGATGTTGAAAAAGTAACTTATGACTAATTCTCACACTTAGGACCATCGCATAGCCATATGATCATGATCATTATGTATTTTCAAGGGTTGTAGTGTCCTGGGACTGTCATTTTGCAACCTTCCCAGGGATCTTCTGAAATGCTACTATGCCTTAAACAGATTGGTTTTTTTTCTTTTTATATTTGTGTTGGTTAATGACTGCAATAAAATATGTTATTATCTCTTTATATTAATGGCCTATTCAAATATTACTTTTTATGACAGTCAAGATTTTTCTTAGTCTATAGGAAACTGATTATATGATTTAGTAATGCAAATTTAGATAGCAAGATGTGTGGCATATAAATGTAATAACTACCTAATAAAATAAACATGTACACTTAAGTCAAATCAGAAAAACCTAAACAGCTTTAGAACTTCACTAACAAGATCTATACGTAATTTGTGAATAGATTCTGCATTTTCAAGAAGAGTTAATTATGAATTTGTCTAAATCAATTTGGGAACGATTTAAGCACATTTGTACAATAATATCTGGACTTACGACGTACCAAAAATTACTTAAAGTTTTGCTTGATGGCTGTAACCTTGCAGGATTGCCATATTATTAAACCTTATTCTTATCTGTTTAGAACATCCTTGTTATAGAAGACAAGCTACACTCAAGAGCAAACAACCAGTATTCATTCATTTAGAACAGTCCCCTTCTCTCCTGTAGAATCATGGATTTACCTAGTGACATGAGCTCATCATCCAACAGAGAGACTGAACTGCTTTGCTCTGGCACAGTTGCTGAGCTACCGCCTGAGAAAGTTGGTATGGCTGGGTAGGCAGGGTTTGCAGGTGGCATGTCCAATCCTGACAGATCCAGAAGTGCAGAAGTGCTGCCTAAACAAAGAAACAAAGTCTCTATCTAGAAGAACAGAATAGCAACAAACCCAGCTCTTAGCAATCACTCCCTTATGTCAGTCAGAGATTGCCCTGCGAAAACCCTTACTCTACCTCAACTCCCTTCAGTCTTCAGTAATCCCTGATTACTGCTTTATTTTTTCAGCCCTGTTGCTGGACTAAATGAGAGTGAGTTAGTCAAATAAGATCACTTTCTAAATCCTAAAGTTGGATTTTTTAATCTGTTTATCTCTTATTTTTTTATCTCTTCTGTTTATCTCATCTTTTATTTAGATTCCTACTTTAGCCAAGGCTCTGAGCCCTCTCCTCTTACATCAGCAGCTATTATCCAGCCTCCTTACCTCGGAGAGAACCTGCCATTGTTTCACCATTGATCTCCTCTCCTTTCACAATCTGCTTGTACAAATTGATCACTTGTGTTAAGTTGTCATTAGCTTGCAAAATTTCAGCTGCAACAAGATCAAGATGATACAAATGAAGGTTCAGAGGGTAATCAAATGTTCCACAATAGAGATGAACCCTAGCATTAACTTTTCTACAATAAAAAATACAAATGTTTTAAGCCTACATTGTTAGGTTTAAAACCTTTAGCTGAAAATTACATTGACATTCATAATATATCAACGTAACACAATAAGTCTATACATTGATTAGCAATTTTGCTTCCATTCAATTAGCTAACCTAATTAGAACAGACCCAAAGATGCTCGCCAGGGGATGATAACAGATGTCAGAAGTGAAAGATCACAATATCTATGCACACGGTAAGTTCGAGTGCACTTTAATCCAGAAACTCATAATTAGAGTAACTTATAATGGAATGTGAAGAAGTCTATTGATATCATAGGGTTTACTTGAAATTATTCTAATATAAAACTAGATGCTTGCTTAAAGATAACTTACCCAGTGCTTCATCATTGTCCTCTGTGTCACTAGCAAGCCTGAAAAGCATGGGCCTCATGCGTTCACAGCGCTGATACAACTCCTATAATGAGGAATATTAAAGTTCAACATAATTAAGTGTACTTTTAGGCTTAAAAATACATAGTCAAGTAAGTGGGGTGGTTTTATTTTATTGATTATATCTGTGTGAACCCATATGAAATTATAAAATTGATTCATTTGAAAAGAAGCAAGAGGGTTAGGGTTCACAACTTCTGAAAGGAGCAGCCAGTGTTTGCTGTGTAGGTGATTGTTTCAATAAGAGAAAAAGTTGCAATTTCTTTTACTGAGCTATTTCTGAAACATTAACACCTTTTCAATCATTAATTGACACCACTTACTGAATTTCCGGTTTAAAGTTTAAAGTCTAAATGCAATAATTGGGTGTATACCATTGAATTATAGTTTGTTTAAGTCTGCTTTTTGAAATAAGGCAGGAATTCAGGGATTCAGTCAGTGCATGAAGCCAAATCAAGCCAAGTATCACAATGGCTTAGTCATCCCACATGTGAGTCCAGATACTGCTTTGTTTATTGTGGTTAATTGTAGAAAGAGCAAAAAGGATGTTCTGCCCCCTTCTGGAGGATTGTCAGATTAATCTTCTAATTGGTTTCTGATTCTGTCAGTCTTTCCCATCCAACTCTGGAGTATTAGACTATCAGAATTCCCAACATCCTGACCAGTCTGAAAACTCTAGCAAAGTGTGTTAGGAAGTACTATACGTGACAGGCAAAAAAAAAAATGCTAATAAAGATTAGCATGTATTTGATGCCAAGATAAGCAGTTTTAAAGCAGCTTAAAGATTAACAAGTATCATCATATACATTTTCTGTAGACTGAAGTCCATGTCAGCTGATGTATGGAAATTTCTGATGAAGTAGGCTGTAGTGTACAAAACATTATGCCAAAATGTAATATGGTGTAATGTGATTTGGAACCTATGATATGGAACCTGTTCAACTGAACAGTAAATGAAGTGGAAGTATTAGAATCAATTTAGATAATAGTATTTAAAAATAATAGTAAATTTGCTGAATGTGTATATTTGCTGAATATATACAATTATTAGCACAGTCACACAGCAATGTTTGCAAATCTTAATTGTATTCAGGTGACTGATTTACTCATTTACAACGCAGCTTAAGCGACAGACACAGAAATGTAAAGCAGGCAGTGGCTGAATGAAAAAATAATCAGGCAGCTGAGCCTCAAGGGTAACTGGGGAGATACTTAGAAGATCAATCTTTGTGCGTATCTTTGTTATGTTAAATTATGTAACCAAGGATTTTCAATGATGCCTTGTAAGGGCCTATTGGACTAACAATTTTAGTTTCTTCATGCAAACATAAATGGGACATTTGCTGCTTAGGATGTAAAAACGCACATGTATTCATAGTTGAGAATTTCAAATCCTCCATTAGGACTTGTTGCAAAACAAAATGCAAATGGGGATTATCTACTCACTTTCATGAGATCCTCGCTGCTCTCTGTCATCTCTCCATTGGTATAGTTAGTCACCATGTCAGTCAGCAGTTTCACATTGTTATTTACTTCTTCAATGGCATGCACTCGCTTGGAAATCTTCTCCATTCGTTTTTGGTCCTGGAAGAAGAGAAGGGTTACAATCTCTTCCAACTTTTTAGAAGACTAGAAAATGTAAAACATGGCAATCCTATTATCTTCAATGACTTTTAAAGAGAGCCTCAGCTGATGTACCCCAGTATTATTCTATCGAGCTCACTGAATGCAAAGATACTGCAGCTAACTAAGTATCCTAAGCAACTACAGCCATTAAAACATGCCACAGAAAGCTCTTATAGCTCACTGGACATGTATTTCAAGACCATCATTTATTTTTGAGTCTTGGAAACCTCTTTCTTCTACAGGGAAAAATCCCTGTGAAATAAGTTATTGTGAGGAAAAACCCTAGCACGAAAACTTTAAAGACAACATTATCAAACAATGCCAATTGATAAATATATGGAGGTGGAAGTAAAGCTTGCCTCTTGAACCATCTCTTTGATGAGTTTATTGGCAGCTCGGAGATCTTCGGGATGGGAACTTTTAAGCAGGCGGGCCAGCATCTGCAAAGACACAGAAAAAATAGGCGTCTGTGGAAAGCTTACAATAGAAGAATATCTGAAAAAATAGATATGAGTTATAGAGCAGGATAATATAAGAGCAATACTTTCCACATAATGTAATCCTTTTAAATCAATCAGACCTTTAGACATTTCAGCTTTCTATACTTTGATAGAACCTAAAACACCCCAGAAAGTATTATAATAATCAACAACAGAGTAAGGATAAATTTTATATTTTCTGCTTTCTCTATACAGTAGGCTAGCATAATCCGTGATGTACTAAGATAAACAGATAGATTTCATGGGCTGTTTCTAAACTTGTTTAAGGAAAGAAAAGCAGGAGGTTTAGTGAACCACTCATGTGTTGCCAATTTGTTTTTAACAATATTATATGAAACTCTATGGCCCATTATTATAACCTTGGCCTACAGACAATTTCATCTTTTAGCCCAAACCAGGGCAATCTGGGCACTCTAGAAATTGTCTAACTACATATCTATCAGTCCATTAAAAAAAAGCCCCAAATAATAGTCAAGGACGATGAGAACTAAGGAGCAAAAAATAGAGGTTTACAGGTTAACTCACCCAATCCTAGTCCTATCCAAGTCCTATCCAACAAGTTCTTAAAACTTGTTATTTAGGGGGTGTTCACTGCAACCTCTAAATAGCTCACATTTTCACTTTCCACACAAAACCTTTTCAGATGATGCAGTACCTTGAAAAGCTAAGAGTTTCAAACCTTAGATAAAGCAAAACAATTACTGTAAAATATATAGTCAATAAATTATTTTTTACCTTGGATTTCTCTTCATCATCAAAAATTGCATTCTTTGGTCTGGGAGGAGGTAGAGGGAAAGGTGCATCATCTGGCAACTTGGGGTCACATTTTACAATCCCTGGGGGAAAAAAAAGAAAAGCTCCTACTAAGAGTTCCCAAGTGGTCAAAAGCAAGTAAGTAGGCAAATGATCCATTTCCCTATCAGACCAATTTAATAAGTCTCCCCAATTTGACCCCTTTTTCTATGTGAATGAATGTTGCAGTGAAGTGGACAACTCCTCAGTTAAAATAAATGAAGGAACTATGGGTAGTCCTCAACTTACAGTTCATGTAATGACCGTTCAAAGTTACAATGGCACCAGGGGTGGGATTCAACCGGTGTTACTACTATTTTGGTGATGTTTTGCATGCAGACACGCGCTTCATACATGTGTAAAAAAATCATCAGCTATGCCACCCAGACAGCTGAAAAGCGCATACGCAGCATTTGAAAAAGCACTTTTTTCCTGCTTTTTCAACCTCAGCTATGCCGTGCAAAGCAGCTGAGGTTGAAAAAACAGACAATAAAGGTCAGGTAAGAGCCCAGGCGGGCGGGTGGCCAAACAGCAGCAAACACAGAACCAATTCGGTGTCTGCTGCTCTTCAGAGCTACCGGTTCTTTAGAACCGAGCAGAACTGGTAGCATCCCACTCCTGAATGGCACTGAAAAAAGTGACTTATGACCATTTTTCACACTTATGACCATTGCAGCATCCCCTCATTATGTGATCAAAATTCAGAAGCTTGGCAACAGATTCATACCGTATTTATGATAGTTGTAATGTCCCAGGATCATGGAATTGCCTCTTGCAACGTTTTGACTAAGTGAATGAGGAAACCTGATTCACTTGACGACTGTGTTACTAATTTAACAACTGCAGTGATTCACTTAACAACTGTGGCAAGAAAGGTCGTAAAATGGGGCAAAACTCAGTTAACAAATGTCTCACTTAGCAACAGAAATATCGAGCTCAATTGTGGTCGTAAGTTGAGGACTACCTGTATTGCTGATTTCTCCTATTACTCATCCAACCAAGGGGAAAGTATTGACAAAGCCTGCCTTCTAAGAAGTGAATGCAAAAGATAGCATGGAACTCTAGAAGGTTGTCTTGGAAAAACAAAGGCAATAAACTGAGTTTGGGTAACAAAGACCAGTACAAGAACAAGGGCTTCTTTAGAAAGGTTTGAAATGAAATGAAAATAATCAAATAACAAATGCGCAGTGAAGATACTAACATGCTAAATTGTAACAAGGAGGTGGCAGAACTATACTAGTCCTCTCAAATAAGTGACTCTAGATTTCATGAGGCAAATTTAAAGACCAACATCAAGAAGCAGGATTGAAGCCCGGGATTGATAGAGTTACTGTCAGGAAATTACTATGATTAAATGTCTAAGGCTAGATGAATTATGTACTGTGGCAATAAAGCAAAAATTTGATGGTCTGGTATTATCTTTGAAAAATTGAGAACTAGAATTAGGCAACTCCGAAGGAGTGTAGATGCTGCTCCTCTCCAGACAGGAGAGGAGAGAAGATTGCCTATTTGTGCTCCAGACAGCTCCTCCTTATAAGGAAACTGTAGGCCTGTATTTCTCCTGTGGGTCTAAGCACTGAACGACAAGGGAAATCATCAAGCCTAGCTGTAGTAGAGCCCTTAAGGTCATTAAATTAGTCTAACCTCACTTTCTAATCACTTTTGGAATTACAATTATATTAAGTTAAAAGAGATCTTCTGAACAACTCTGAAAATCCATCTGGTGAGTAAAACTTCATCCTGAAATAGAAGAAAGATTACTTTACAATTTAAAGAATTTAAAAATAAATGCCAAAAAGCTAAATAAAAATTCAACCTAAGAAAGTTTTGAATGGATTAAGGAAGCAAATGAATTTGGAATATTAGGACTTAAAGAACTTTGAAAAATTGAGTAAATAAACACTTTTGTGGGAATGGGACTTGTTGATCCTATGAGGAAAGAGATTATTGTGGAAACTTCAAAATAAAGAAATGAGATTTTGTAAATACAAAAACAGGATACTAAATTAACATTTCAGGCAGAAACTTTAAAAATGTCTGATAAAGATATGATACTTGAGACATTTCAAAGAGTCATTGAAGAACTGAGAGAGCAGCTTACAAATAAACCAACAGCAATAATTTCTACATCTGCCAAAATATTTCTTGAAATGTTAAAGAAATCAAAGATATAGAAAAAAAAATCCTAAACAATGTAGAAATATTTTGAAGAAACTGTGGATTATAAAACAACTGTAAAATGATAGACTTGAAATACAAGTGACATATATCAAGAGATGGGAAAAGATCTGGACAATGATTTATTATTGAATTTACAAAAAAAAGGTTAGTAGAATCTTGAAGAAATTTTTGAAATGGGAGAAAGAAAGTTTGAATGGCCATTTAGTCCTATGACAGAAACTTGGTGAATTAAAGGTTAAGACTGTCTGACGCCAAAGGAAATGAGCAAATACTATCTTTATCTTGAAAAAGGAGAAAAAGAAGGATCTGGAAACTATAAATCAGCCATTCTGATATTGATATCTAACAAATAAGCTAAGCTCCTTGAAAACAATGCAATAATTAGTATGAATTTGTAATAACAAATCAAACTTATCAAACTAAATTTATTTAATTTTTTTTTAAATGGGCAACTTCCTTACTAGATTGTGGGAATGACTATAATATGACTTACTTTCAGAAATGTATTTGATGAAGTACCTCAGAATATTCTGGTTAGTAAGTTAATAAATAATCCAGAGTTCTCATGGCAAGCCTAATTGACCAGATTCAAATTATTATACTGTATTTTGGCAAATACCTGAGAAATGTATAATGCTGAGAATGTTGAATGCTGCAAGGTACATATAAATATATATGTAAACTGTAAAGCCTACAAACTTGAAATTTGGCAAACTTGAAATCTTGGCTTCAAGATGCTCACTAAGAAAGGATTTTTTGAAATGATCATCAGAGCATTAGTATTTCATATATTATTAACAAGCTTTGATGCTTAGGAATTCTATTCCCCTTCCCCACCTGAAAAGTAATCTGTTCCAAATGCAAAACACAAGTAGAGGAGTTTCAGTTTCAGTTTTAGTTTCACAGCACCAAGCAACCTTGGTACAGAACAATTGAGCTAAGTCACGCCCCGGCTCCTTGCTGTCTCCTTGCTCACACAGCAAATACTGCTTCAGTTTCCAAACAGCCCTCAACTCTCTCACACACTGATCCTAGCCACATGAATACTGATGGATGCTGGTAGGCAGAGGCAGAATCCCCCCCCCCCATTTTCTTCCCCTAAAACTAAGTCCAACCACATAGTTTCGTAGCAAAGCACACGTATTGAATTAGTATATTTATATTTTCATTTCAATACTTGCTGTGAAATTATATACACATTTTAAAAGTTAAGAATATACAGACACAACATCAGTAATAAAAATTTAATCAAACTATGCTAATTAATTTCATCTTTAAGAATCAAATAGATGCTTTGATGATGATTATTGGCAGAAAGAGGGATGCACATCTCCAGTATTACTTCTCCCTAGCATTGTAAATAAGATATGAAGCAAAAGTTAACCTGCTTTAACCATTTTGAACCATCCTCTGTATCATTTATTAATTTGTATGTATGAGTTTGCAAACAGATGAGTTAGAGCTGAAAAAATGCCCAGTTCTTTATCTTACCCTTTCAGTATTTCTGTAACCCAGAATATAAAACCCAAGGTATTAAATCCAAGTTCGGAAGGAATGTCTGCATTCTTATACAATTAGGTGAAAACCTCTGAGCATAGAAAAGTATATCCTACCTTGTTTTTTTAACATCTGATATGCTTCTGTAATTTTCACTTCCTCAGGCAGACCCAACGTCCAGCTATACATCAATTCTAAGATTTTTGATTTCACTTTTTCTGGAGTTCTGTTTCCTAGATACTGAGGAAGAAACAAATCACATCTCATATTTAACTTGAAAGGGTTAAAGAAAAACACAAGAATTTGCTTCCAGGGTATTCTATACCAAGCATGAGATGAAGTGTCGTGTGTTTGATTCTACACTGAAGATGAAGACAAATCCAACTGTTGCAATGTGATAATATCAGACATTAATGAAATAAACTACCATCAGCAATTCTTCACTTTTCTTTTACAATGTACTAGCACAGGACTCAAAAAGAAAATGACTCAAAATACAAGGTTTTCTTAATGAAGCCAATAATATTACCTTTTATTCAACATGTTGAAATATGAAAATGCTCTGTGCTTGTCACTTTTACATGTTACATTTTGAACCTGACCCACTAGTGTTAGTTTAGTTTAATTTAGTTTATTGATTAACCCTTGGGCCATATAGTAATGAGCACTCACCTTTGGTGATACAACCTTGATGAGCTCGTTAAGGAACCTAAATTTGCCAACTTCATCATGAAAGCGCTTGCCACAGTTTTTCATACAGGCCTCTAGCACCTGTAAAACAGAGCAGGAAGTGATCCTGAAAGTCCACATGCCAGGATTCCCCATTTTCTTCACAATGCAATGAAATGGGGGATGGGGATGAGGACTGAGAAGAATGTTATTTTTAAAAAATATTGCCTTCTGAAGCTTTCATACTTTTTCTCTCTCTACTGATAAATCAGTCTGCCTCAATAGTGCCTCCTAGATATTGGAGTATAATTCTAGAAGTTTCCCTACATCAGGAAAACTCCATTTTGGGAAGAGGTAATAAAAAAGTTTGCTCCCTCTGCCAAAATTCACAAATTATGACCTCAGATTTGAAAAGACTAGTTGCACTTAGAGTGACTTATTTTGTGCACATTACCTTCCTTGGGTCTTAAGTATGGAAATAATTAAAAGCAATCCCACCATGGCTCAGTACAGAATTAGTCACCTTGGGCTATTGAGAGAGCATTGTCTTGTAATAACAATATGTTAGACCAAAAATAAACATCCTATATGATGGCTTCCAGTATTGAGCCCAAGAATGCCTTACTCAAATATCACATGCATATGCATTAATATGAACCTACAATAATTCATTCTATAAAATATAAGTTAAATATGATATATGCCAGGAAAAAAGTGTCAGTTGCTCCCAGGAACTCAGAGAATCTCTCATTTCTCATTTTGTGGCAGGCATAGATGATAAGGAATCATTGGAAACACTGAGCTGAGAGCTAAGCAGGAGTGTCCTTATTAAACACCTGATCCAAAATCTCAAGTGTCAATAGACTTGTAGTCAGATGAGAATTTCCTCCTTCCCAAGTGATTAGATACAGATAGTATTTACTCTTGCTAGAAATAGATTGCATGTAAAATCATCAAGAGCGGTCATTGTCACAATTTGTGAGGATGGGAATAGCAGATTGTAGCAGGACTTTTTCTATTACCTTACAATTCATTCATTAAGCATCAGTTAGAATTAGCTTTTAGAGTTTATGTATTAATACCAATGCTGCGATTATTGCTCTCTATGTAGACCAACTGTTTCACATGAATGGGGAATATATTTATTAATTTACTATATTGCCATGGGCAAAATATGTATACTTTAAAAGTTGAAAACCAATACACACAAATTTTATAACAATCTAAAGTAACCTAAAACCGAAATAAAACAGAACCAGTGCAAGAATCCAAAGAGAAATATTTTAAAGCTGAAAATTTGAAAAGCATAGGAAATCCAATTTTCACTGGAAATGGAAGAGACCATAAAAGTGTGTCAGATGGTCTTTTCTAGAAAGGGCAATGTCTCAGTTGACACACCAATGCTGAAAAGATCCTTTCAATTAAGCCATAATAATAAAAATACAGTTAGTCAAGCCAAATTGTGGCTCCAAATGAATAACCAAACAGAACTGCAGTTTTCTTGAAATCAGGAAACAGTGAAGCTATGGTGTCTCTTTGAAATACCTGGCATCCCATGAAAAGAAGAATATCTATATCTGTCAAAGGTGTGGCACTTGAAATCAGAGTGCAGAGGGATGGGAGAGATAATAATTATCCTGATGTTTCACATTTAGTCCTGATTATATCACCACTCTTCTTCCAACATATTCTAATATAACCCAAGATGGCTTAAGTTGTACCAGCTCTCATTCAGGTAGTTATCAAGCTTTGTTTCCTTTCAACTTGTAGTAAATCAAGCAGGATATAGTTCATGGAATCTTACCGTGAGAGCCTGAATGGCTTCCCATTCTTGTGGAGACTGGATCTTGTGGGCTAGGAGCCGGGTTGCTAGGGGTGGGCTATGAGTGAAACATAGACACAGTGAGTGGCATCACAGAAACAGTTAATGAAGTAACAATCTGGATCTCTCCATTCCCCATTTTATTTTAATCTTTATACATTCATAACAACAGACAAACCACCATTCACTGGAAGAAGAGCTCTCAATCCAGAGGCTATTTATTCTTTTCAAGTCACCTTCAGACAGCCTTGAGGCTGATACATTTTGTGAAATGGAGCAGATGTGTTGGTGAGATGCTGCCTATTGCTATATGAATATGAAATCTCTCTTTTCCCTGATGCAGTCTTCAAATTTTTTACTTTCTATTAGCTGGCTTCAAGAAAATCTCACTGGTTCTTAAACTGTGTAAATACTTTGTACTTCCTTTTTAAGGAATTATACTTCCTTTGCAACAAACATTACGAATAAGGCAATTTAGTAACTTGCTAACCGATACTAAGAGACTGATTGAAGTTGACTTCTAGGAAATAATCACTTTTGTAGTCAAAATTTGATTATGACTCTGGCCCATTCCCTAAAGAAATATCCTAGCTTTTAATATCTTAATGAAATCTCCAAGTAATCCAGAAAACCTATGCTGGAGAGCCCTACTACCAATAAAGAGGGTATATAAGCACCATTTTGAAATTTCTTTTAACATTCTCTGTTAAATGATGATCCTCTTCAAAAATCATCAATTAAAACCTACTATCCTTTATGCAAATTTAAATCAATCTATTAATTGTAGTGTTTTAGGTGTCTGATTTATATATACCGAAAGTCTTAACTAATTGCTTTTACTATTCTTTTTTAAATCTTTCCAGAACTCCCATATTTCATACATAGGATATTTCCCTATTGGCTTTTAACTATGTTACAAATATGCTTTAGTACAGTGGTGTCAAATTCATGGGCCGGGGGCCAGATGAGTCAAGCAGTGGCCACGCCCACCTCCAGTCACAATATGTCACATGATGGCAACATGACGCCGCGAATTTGAAAGCCCTGCTCTAGTAACTTCTTGTTCTTCTATGTTCCTATGACACTATTTTCAAATTGTCCTTAGCTCATGAGTAAGACAGGCTTAAGTTGCATTTAACTGCACTTAATCTTTAAAGTCATGTTCCCCCCTCCCCCCCAAGCCATCAGCAATCCATAGCGGTGTCCAAGTGAGTAAAATCCATTGTGATTTACTATCTGGTCAGATGATACGCAGGAGTTAGGGAGAGCTTGGCACCTATTTGCTACTTCAGGATTCTGGAGGCCTGCCACTTTCTTGGAATCTAAGGAATTCTCCTCTGCTATTCTTCTTTTTTTTCCCTTCCAGGTGAGGAGGTCACACCTATCAAAACCCAGGGTAACTTCCTGTAGCTCAGGGGTGTCAAATTGGCGGCCAGTGGACCAGATGCATCATGTGCAGGCCACCCACACTCCGACTCCACAAAGGCAAAGAAAATGTCGTGATATGTCATGTGACACGATTGAGTTTGACACCTGTGCTGTAGCCTGTTATGTAGCTTATCAGCATGTACCATAAGACAGTAAACTGGTTCTTTCAAAAAAGCCACACAGTCAATTTGGAATCATGTGGCACTGAAATCAAATCAAATAAAAAAAAAAAAAATCCTGCAATTCTAAATGAGCACTAAATAAGCTTGCTAGATAGTTCACTGGCAGGATTTGTGAGTTGCCCAGTAAATGGGAAAAGCTATTCTACCTTAGAGGCAGATGCTATCCACTGTCAATATTTGCTTCAGATCTATAGAATGGTAGAAGCGTGTTCAATACAGGCAGTCCTTATGACCACAATTGAGCCCAAAATTTATTGAGTTTTGCCCCATTTTACAACCTTGCTTGCTACAGTTATTAAGTGAATCATTGCAGATGTTAAGTTAATAACATCGCTGTTAAATGAATCTGGCTTCCCACTGACTTCTTATCAGAAGGTTGTAAAAGGTGATCACGTGATCCAGGGCACTGCAACCGACATAAATATGAGTCAGTTGTCAAGCGTCTGAATTTTGATCATGTGACCCCGGATATGCTGCAGTGGTTGTAAGTGTGGAAAATGGTCATAAATCACTTTTTTTCAGTGTTGTTCTAACTTTGAACGGTCACTAAATGAACTGTTGTAAAATGCAAAAGAGGCTATCTGCATTGCTGGACAGTATCCCAACCTCACAAACCCACTGCTGGTGGGTTTACCATCATATGATCAGGACTGCGTGGCAAAATGGATTATGCAAACCCAGAATAGTGGATTAATTTAGTAACTACAGCTAAGTAAAGAGAAGCTTTGAACATTAGAAGAACACAAAGTGATTCAGATGTAGCCATAAGTTTATTCAGAATGCTTCTTTGGAATACTTTATTTCATTATTATGTTTTCAGCATACATAAACCCCAGATAGTCAAATATAGGTATATCAGGTATACTAACCCCTCTAATTCTTTGTTCAGCTGGTCACAAAAAGCATTGATATTGTCCCATTCCACATCCTTATTTAAAGGATTTGTAGCTCTGTCTGAATTGAAAGAAAATAAATAAAGTTTTCTCGATTTTTTTTAACTTGCAATCAGAATAAATGTCAGAGACCATTTACCAATCACATTACAACAAAGAGGAAGTTATCAAAATTTTATTACAATGCTGCCATCAGACACCACAGGAATGACACAACAGGGAGACGCCATTGTTAGAGGGAAATCATGTGCTTTCCCAATAAAGGTCACAGGTTTAATCTTCAATATCTTTTTTTGGCCACAATAAGTTATCTACTTAGCATGTGCAAGTATTACTAAATGAGTGGACAGTCCTCAACAAATTGAACCAAACTTCTGGCTCAACCTAAGGTAGCTCTATGAATGAAAATTGGAACATGACATTATGGGGGGGGGGGGGGGGAATCAAATTGTGCACATTATTCCCTAAGATACCAAACTCAAGTCTTAATTGTCCATGCTGAGTAGCAAGTGTTCATTTTTAAAAATGCAAATCAAAGTTCTCTCAATACAATCCACCATTACAATGTAACCTGAAATGAATATTGCTGTCATCTGCACTACAGCCAAATGAAACTTACTACAGCTTCTATTCCTACAAAGCAGAGGAATATATAAGTCATCCCGTCTGCACACAGCAAACTTAATTTAAAAAAAAATAATGCTGTCAGGTCAAAAAAGAGGGGAACAATACCACAGCCCAAAACAGCAAGACGGTCTACAAAAACAGCATACAGAACCTGCTATACCTTAAAAGTTAAACCGCTGCACAAAAATCTTTGTGGGCCAAAGTTCCTTTCACCAGATATAAAGGTATTTTTAAAAAATCATTTTGCAAATTATAAACTCATTTTAGGGTAGTTCATTGCAACTAAAGATTACAAAGTTATCTCCTTGAAACATGCTCTGGATTTTGAAGAGTTATATTCGTAACTAAACCTAATTCGGAATTCTTTTTTTTTAAAAAAAACAATGTTATTTGGTACCAGCAACATATTTACTGTCCATAACTGAGTATGTGATTAATCCAGCAACACTTTCTGGGGATTTCAAAGTCCGATTGCACTAAGGCCTGGGGCAAGCTTCATTCCTGGCCACAGTAACAGACCCCTAACCTTTGGCAGTTGGTGAGTGGGAAACTTTAGTTGGGCCAGACAGGGGAGGGGGAAAAAAGCTCTCCAGGACTAAAGGAGGGGACGGAGGGCCAGTCTCTTCCTCCCTCGGAATGAGGCAAAACGTGGCAACGTCTTCCTAACAGGCGGTGACCCCCGCGATGAAAAAGGGGAACCGCAGAGCATGTGATGGCAAGCGGGTCACGCGAAGAAGAGCCCTCTTCCAAGGAGGCCCGAAGCACCTGCTACCGCTAGGGATAAACCCGGGCGGTCTTCCCCAACTTACTGATCCTGGACTCCAACGTCTCTGCCTCCATCTCGGGCTCCATCGGTTCCCGTTCGGTTACCCCGCCCCCTCCACGGCCGCTCCAGTTCAAAGGCTCAGTATTGCTGCCTCCCTCCGGCTCCGGCGGCCCAGAGCCATAGAGAAGAAAACCGTCGAGAGGGCCGTTCTGGAAACAATAGAGCTTCGGAAGTTATAGCCGGAACGCCCTCTGGGAGCGGGGCAAAACTTGCTCCCAACTTCCTCCTCCGATTCACCGAGATAGACAGGCTTTGCCTAGACCAGTGATGACAGGGCCAAAGGGAAATTCTACTGAGGTGCCGGGCTGAGGCAGGACAGCGGATTTTCTGTCTGTGGCAGGAAGGAAGAGAGACACTTCACAACTTCGGGGCAAAAGAAAGAAACGGGGAGAGAGAAGCTTAAAGAAAAAAAAATTGAGTAAACTCGTCCTAGTTTATTGTCCTCTTTCTATCTCTATGCTATTACACCCAATAAATAGAACGGAAGCTTTTGACAGAACATCATAGAAAACGACGCTTGAGTACGCTAGAACGTCTCACTCTATTTTCGGATTTCCTGCGTCAGACTTCTCTGACCACTAGACCGGAAAGCGCTATAACCGCCGTCCCTTGTTGCAAAGGCGCCCTGTTGCCATAGTCATACTTCATCAAAACAAGCCCTTAGTGGTGCATTCTGGGAACTGTGGTGTCATTGGTCAAAGCCGACTTGTGGGGTGGGAGCGGTCAGTAGAGGCGCGCTCCATTTTTTCCGACTCAGTATTTTTGATATGGGTTGGACTACCAAACCCACAATTCCTAGCGAAACATTTCGTTAATGTGTTCCGAGATTGACACGGTTTCTCCGCCCTTGCAGCTGGGTTTGGGCGCCTTGTCCGTTAACGAAGGCGACTAGGTCAGAGAGCGCTAGATCTCAAAACGTGCTAGTGCAAGGGTCTTCAAACCTAGCTTTAGGACTTGTGGACATCAACTCCCAGAATTCCTGAGCTAACATGACTGGAGGAGGAATTCTGGGAGTTGAAGTCCGCAAGTCTTAAAGCTGTCAAGTCTGAAGACCCCTGTGCTAGTGGAAGTCAAGCATCGAAGACCAGATTTATCCACCTGCAGATACCGTTGCTTGTTTATTTCTGGGTTATTAAACAAACCACAACAAGCAGTATCCATTTGTGAAGTCAAAGCTAAATAAGCAACATTGTGGTTATTTGAGGGGTCCTGGGTGCTCTCTGAACTTGCTTGTGTTTTCTTGCAGAGGTTTCATTACCCCAACTAGGGAACATCATCAGCTAGTCGCACTGATGATGTTCCCTAGTTGGGGTAATGAAACCTCTGCAAGAAAACGAGCAAGCTCAGAGAGCACCAAGGACCCCTCATTTCAACCCTGCGCTATAAATATTCTTTATTGTGGTTATTTATATTTCATATTTCTAAACCACTCATGTCCCTCAAAGATGGACTCTGGGCCATGTACAATATATTATAATTGAGAAGTAAAACAATTAAAATTAAATGAGGGTTAAAAAAATTTAAATTATAAAATAATGACAAATATCCAGAGGGAAAATCCTTAGATGGCCATTTAACATTGGATTATTTGGGGGTGGGGGTGGGGGGGTGGAGAGCTCTCAAGGGACTAACTAGCCAGCCTTATGGTTGGTGGTCCTCTATGCATCCACCCCACCATGCATGGTTGCAGAGCCAAGTTTTGACCCCTTTGCGAAAGGCCAAGAGATTGGGAGCTTTCTTCATTTCTGGAGGCAGGATGTGCCACAGAGGAGCAGTAGCAGCAGAAAAGGCTCCCTTCTTAGAGCCTGTCAGTGAGAATTCTTTGACTGATAGGTCTGTAGCTTATCTTCCCTGCCTGATAGAGACAGGCTGATGAGATTGGATGAAGCTGGTTCTGTAGATAACCTGGTCCTGTGCTATGTAGGGCTTTGTAGGTGATTATAAGTGGTACCCATTACAATTCATGGAGCAGGGGTATTTATATGTGCTCTTCTAATGTTCTTCTAAAGATCAGAGGTAGAAGAAGTGCAGCTTTCTCTCACCCTTCCCTTCCTTCTTTGGGACTAAAGGAACTCTGTGTATGTATGTGCACGCGTATATATTTGTGTTTGTGTGTGTGTGTGGAGAATTTGGTTTTTTCCCCTAAAGTTTTCAGGGTTAAAGAACAAAAGTCTTAAGCTCTTGTAGGGGCTGAATGCTTCAACAGTCTTCTTCCCCAAACAGATTTGACAGCCTTGGGTGGTTCTTCATTCTTCAAGCAATAGAAACTGCACATCCTGAGATTTTTGTGTACCCATGTGCATTTTCTGGAAACTGAATCGGAAGCAGAGGTGGTATTCAGCAGGTTCTGACCAGTTTTGGAGAACTGGTAGCAAAAAATTTGAGTAGTTCAGAGAACCAGCGGTAACCTTCCCTCAGGAGTGCAATGGAGATTTTACAGTATCCTTCCTCTGCCAGGTCCACCACGCCGCACCATGCCACGTCTGCTATCCCATGCCCACCAAACCATGCCCACCAAGCCACGCCCACCAAGCCACGCCCACAGAACGGATAGTAAAAATTTTTGAACCCCACCACTGATCGGAAGTATATGATAACTATTTAGTTGCAACTAAACAAATCCCAGTAACTCTAGCCAATGGATCCTATATTTCAAATTAAACTTGAAACTATGGTTCCTTTGAATTGTTCTTTGGTGTTTTTTTTACTAGTTGTCTTCTTATTCCCATTCTGGGTAGCTTAGTAGAAATGATTTAATACTACAATCTGTCTATTCATGAGACAGTTGCAGTTTGCCACTTCAACCAAAGTGGCTTTAAACAGCTTATAAAGTAAAAATGTAGACAACAGTAGATGCATCAAATATAAAGAAAAATTAAGAAACATACCAAAGGTATTAAAGTAAGAACTTTCCATAAATAATGAAATGCTTTTAATACAGACAATGCTCATTTTAACACTTTAGAAACCCCTCTTAAAAAAACTTTAATAAGTCCAATGTTAAAATATTTTGTTTCATTCTGTATTAGTAAGGCAAATTTAAGTTTGTGTTGTCACTCTTCTACAATACTCAATAAGAAAATTCTAAACACAATCAAGTGAATGAGCTAGTTCCTAAAATTGGTTGGGGAGTTGAACAAATCACAGTATCTTGGAATGGTTATAGACTTCTTCCTTAATTATAATCCTTAGTTCCTTCTGATCCCTCTTGTGTCTAACCTTCAAAGTTTGATCCTATAATCTTTTTAAAATAGAATTCCAAACAATTTTCCCACAGGGAGGATTCTTATAATTAATTTTAAAACCTTATTTCAGATCTATCCGGATCCTTAGCTCATTTGTAACTTTCCAAAATCAAAGCTCTGGTCATCTTTTTGCTGTTTGATCCAAAATAATTTTTAAAGTCCTTAAATTTGTTTTAAAACTTCCGTCGCTAAGGATGAAAGGACTCACCTGATGCTATAAAACTTGTTGATCCAAAAGTTCCTAATAGCTGAAAAGCAGTTAACAAGCAATTTCTGAAGTCATTAGAAAGGGAAGTATGTATACCCAGTGTCCTTAAAGGCACTGACTGTTGTTTGAGAAATAGGCCCTTCTTTCTCAGAGTTCTAAACTGATGAAGACTGCTGTCTTGTGATCTTATGAGGAGCAACTGTGGACAATCTCAGGCCATCTCCTTGCCCAGAGGAGGAATTACGAAGATCCAGACTACTCACTGGCTTCTCGTTCCATCATGGTTATTGGCTGTGCTTTTAGTGGAGCCATCTTTAGTTCAGTGTTTCTTCCTCGGAAGTCAATGGCCACATAGATTTTTTTGCATGGTGGTGTGTTTCTAACCTGGTCCTTTGGTTCTTCTAATGATGCACCCATTGCCACTGTAACTGAGTTTGTCACCTTGCTGCAGATCTTCCTCTTCACTTTCCTTCCACCTTTCCCAGTACCAGAACCTTCTCTGAGAGCTAGGTCTTTGCATAATATATTCAAAATATAAGAATATAAGCATGGCTATTTCTGCCTCACGTGAGAACTCTGAGTTGATTTGTTCAGTGATCCATTTGCTTGTTTTCTTAGCTTTCCATGGGATACTCAGCTGTTTTGAAAGCATCAATACTCTTTCTAACTGGCATCCTTTCTATCAACATTTGCACATTAACATTTCTCTATACATTTCCCAATCTTTAATAAATATTCTACCAAGATGCAGAAATCCATTTAATTGTTCTTATTTTTCCCTCTTGTATAATTTGGAACCATTTCACTCCATTTTCCTTGTTAAAACATTACCTTCCTTCCTTCCATGTTGATGTTCTCAAGGTTTGTTCAGATGCTACCATGAAATAATCTGTTCCACATTCAGCACTTTTCATTAGTAATTTTTCCAATTTTTAGCATAATAAAATAATTCATGCTTTTGCATTTATTTTCTTTATTTTGATGTTTGTATGTATGAATGGACTTCTGCATAAGCTACAGTATTCCAAACCATAAGGGATACATTATTTGCCAAACAGTTACTATCTGTACTTCCATTCATTCTTAGGTTCCTCCATATTTTCTACTCTGGTTTACCATTATTGCTATTCAATGGAATGCACTCTTACTTTCACAACCTAAATGACACCAATTCATAATGTCTGAATCCCAATAACTAGAAGATAGATGCGATGTTCTGATGTTTCTTTTGATGCCTTCAAGTCAGTGTTGACTCCTGGTGGATGGCCCCTGTACTTTTCTTGGCAAATTTCAGAAGTGGTTTCCTGTTGCCTGCTTCCTAGGGCTGAGAGAGTAATGGGGCTGTGGTCACAGAGTTGGTTTTGTTCCTAAGGCAGACTAGAACTCACAGCCTCCTGTTTGCTGGACTAAACCAAATTGCCTCTCTCTGACTTATTGAGGGTATCCACACTCATAACAAACAAACCATTGCTAAGTACAATGTGTGAGCCTAACATTAAATTGTTTATCACAGGCATACATTAATTTACATTTATACAGTGTTATAATAAGTGACATTTTAAAGAATGGCGTTGATAATATAACTCTGATGTGTTGACTCATTTTCTTGGCAAAATTATCCATTATCTTCCAAACTAGATGATATTGTTGATATCTGTATTATGGCTGTAAAACAATAAGCTCTCTAGATAATTAGATACCATTTGTCCTTTTGTCCTTGCTTCTTCAATAAGTTATCCTAGCCGCAATTACGATAGTTAATAATAATAGCTTGTCTTCTATCTGCTCCAGTAGTTTTGTAGCAATATAGCATGTTAACTCTATACAGTATTTTTAATTTAATGCTTGGAAAAGTTGTCAGCTTGACAAGTGCAGAATCCTCTACTCGATGACTTGCACATCGTAC